TGCTCGGCTGGTGCTCAAATTGTGCTCGGCTGGTGCTCAAATTGTGCTCGGCTGGTGCTCAAATTGGGCCCGGCTGGTGCTCAAATTGTGCTCGGCTGGTGCTCAAATTGTGCTCGGCTGGTGCTCAAATTGTGCTCGGCTGGTGCTCAAATTGTGCTTTTCTTGTGGTCCCCCTGGTGCTCGTTTTGTCGTCCCTTTGGACCTTTCCTTGCCCGGGCTAATTTTTTTCATTTTTTTCGCAATTATTTTTGCAGTCTCCTTGTGCTTTTTTTGTGCTTTTTGTTGTGCTTTTTTTGGTGCTTTTTTTGGTGCTTTTTTTGGTGTTTTTTTGTGCTTTTTTCTGTGTTTTTTAATGTTTTTTTTGTGTTTTTTTGTGCTCTTTTTGTGTCTAGCTTGTGCTGGTTTTGGCGGTTGGTACTTACGCGTCAATGAAGTTTTGCGATTTAGGGTTCGAATGGGCTCGGGGTTTAGAATTTAAAGTTTAGGATGGATGCCAAGTATATAACATTTCCATTTTCCCACATGGCCAATCTGACTCCATGGTTGAGCACATTACGGTGCATTGTGCCAGTTGCATCAAGCGGCCAAATCCTTTCACAATATGTTCTAGTCCTTGCTTCGATGCAGACGCCTTGCTCGCACCTTCTCAGGGTAACGCATGAATGTATTGTCTGTAGTCTGCGCTCTTCTTTTCTCAATGTTGGAATGCAACTGATATGCTTGAAAGATCTTGAAAGTGAAGCCCCTGTCTTGAATTCTGAATTCTGTATCAGAGGTTTGGAGGGCAGGTTGACGTTTTTTTTTGGGCACCTCCTAGCCGAGATTTTTGGAGCAATTTCCTTGTGCTCGTTTTGAAAGGGTAGGTTAAAGGAAAATCATTTATCTGCTGTTACTGGGCGGGGGGTAGATCGAATGTATATCTATATTATGTATATATATATATACGTATAAATAAGTGCCAGTTGCAGACCTCCAAACTCATCGAGTTCGTCGAGCGGCGATGAAATTCACACTGCTTTTGCAGACACGGCCGGTTCCCAGAACCAGATCCGCGGCGATCATCCTGCGCCAAGTTGGCATGATCCATGAACACCCGTTGGAAATCATGGGAAAACTGGGGAAAAAATAGGAAAACCTAGGAAAATGATGGGAAAACTGGTGAAAAAACTAGGGAAATCATGGGAAAACTGGGGAAAAAATAGGAAAACCTAGGAAAATGATGGGAAAAGACTAAGAAAATGATGAATAGCCTCTGGTAAACATACAAAAAGCGAACTGGAAAATCACCATCTTTAAGTTCGGTAAATCAGCTATTTCTATGGGCCATTTTCAATAGCAAACTGTTAAATTTCCAGAGAGTACGTGATCAAAAATGGATAACCACTTTCTTTTCGGATAAATACATGGATTAATACGAGTACATGAGCTGTGAAAAAAAAACCTATCCTAACTCTTTGCACTCACAAAGGTCTTTCGCGAATCCTTTCGTTTTACTTTCGCGGCCACAATGCCGGCTTTCGCGAAACCACTGCTACAACAACCTCTTTCGCGGACCTTTCGCGGTGAAAGGGAAAATCGTGTAATCGTGGACATGATTCTTGGCCCGCTGAAACCTTCAGCTAGGTGGTGTTTCGTTGCGGCAAAGCTAGACTTTGGGAGCTGCTTGCTTGGCTCCACAGCTACTTTTCGACAGGGCTCTGAAAGCAATGTTGGGGATTCAGGTCTGCGGCCAGCAAAGCCCGCTGAAACCTAGAGCTAGATGGCGTTTCGCTGCGGCAAAGCTAGACTTTGGGAGCTGCTTGCTTGGCTCGATACCACACACGAGTGTCAAATTAAACTGCCAGAAACATGGGGCTTTCCAGGTGGACGGATGGACTTGGGACATTAATTGCATCTTTGGCGGTTCTTTCGCGGATCTTTCGCGGATCTTTCGCGAAATTTGGCAGCCAAAAGTGGCAAAAGCAGATTCTTAATCTAAATTGAGCTCTGGCTACAGTCTTCAACGCACTTTACAACCCGAGCTGCGACACCCGACTCCCACAGCTGAGACCCAAGGCTTCCACTTGTCAACTTCCCGTCCATTCCCACTGGTCCATTCCCACTGAACAAAACAAACAATTTGAAATATCTTAAACTTCTCTTTCGCGACCTTTCGCGAAGCAAATTACTTTCGCGATCTTTCGCGACCCAGCATTTCTCTTTCGCGAAAGTGATGTAGTATAACTCCCTTACATAAACAATACATTGAAGTTTTTTTCGTGGCTCACATGGTGCTCCAACATGTTGAAACCTCCAGGGTTTCAGAAAAACGTGACCACCATGTTGTTGCATCCGTTGAATCATCTCCTCTTGAGCCAGGACCTGGATATCTCCATATCATGGCCACAATACAAATCGTCACTAGGAATCCTCCAGTTGTTATCAACTTGTTTGTTGTTTCCATTATAAGTTCTAATTGGATCATATTGGATCATCCTATCTCCATGAGGAACATCGAATATGTTTGAGAGAATTTCATGATTTTCCTATGATCATATGGGTGTTTTGGATAGTGATTCATTTTCCTATCAACATTTCCCCGTTGCGATCGCGAGCGGCTGGGTCCTGCGTCCACGCTTGTCGTAGACCAGCAGCCACCATTCCTGCGCGGATGCTGAGCTTGCTGATTTCAAGTACCACAGGAAAACCACCATTCAGCCCCTAGCAAGAATGTTGAAAATGTGTAAGTGAAGAAAGTGTGGAAATCGAGACCGCTTGGATGACTTTCAACTAATCTCAAACATATATATATAATATGTATATATAGACTTATTTAATCATATTTAATATTATTTATTCTTATTTATTTATACATGATAATTAATTACTTTTTTCATGTGCCATGATTGAAAAAATCAACATCACCATGAATCTTGACCAGATCAGTCACCATGCGCGCCATGCGCGCCATTTTCTCGGTGCCCTAAGGGCGCGCCATTTTCCTCGTGCTTCACCACAGGGAAGAAGGGGGCGTGCACGGGCCCGGCCGACTCGGAGTCGGAGAGGTTGGTTCTGGTGAAGGTGACCTGCCGATTTTTTCAAATTTCGATGGGGTTCAGATCGCCGATGGCAGGTTATGGCTATATAGTTAATGAGTTATCGTTAAAGGACTATAATGAATTATAGCATATTATAGCTATGGTTAATATTAGTTATAGTTATGGTCATAGTTAATTAATGTTAATTAGTTATCTATAGTTATATAAAGAATGTTAAAGGGCTCTTGAAACCAAGGTCCACATCACGGCCTCAGCCAGTCAAGGTGAAGCCATCTAAGGCGCTAACATAGCATTGCCATGGCCATGTCTCGTAGAAGGCACCCAGCGGCACCATTGGATCAGGCAAGTAGTATTGAATGCAATCAGGCAAAATGCCACCCAAACAAAAATAGCAAAAAATAAGAAGTTCTTTTCTATAATTGGGATAATTGATTGTGCCATCTGTGGCTGCGGGTGCTTGAAGCCTAGGAAAAACACAGAAATTGGGGATGAATTCTTTACTGTCTCAGCCATCCCAGAAATATTCCCAGTGTGCATGAGATCATGCGCACATTGAAATCGTTTAAACATGTTTAAACATGTTTAAGCATTTGTTTAAGCATTTGTTTAAGCATGTGTTTAAGCATGTGTTTAAGCATTTGTTTAAGCATTTGTTTAAGCATTTGTTTAAGCATCTTTAAACAAATTCCAAGAGATTGAGGACCCAACCGCATGAGATTACGCGCACTTGCAGAATTAAGCACTGAGGAATCTGCTGCTAGTATCTACTAGTGACATCACCCTGGTGCTTCTTTCTCGCTCACCCGTTCTTACTACTCAAATCACTCATTATGACATTTGAGTCTTCCAGTCTTCCCGGCCGCCAACTTTCAAATGTGGAAATCTGTTTCAGCACGTGTTTGCGCCTTCAAGGTGGCCATATCACCTTCAGCCATCTCTGCTTCATCATTCACCTGGTAGAAAAAGTGGTACCAAGAACTGCCATGTACTGGACATGTCAAGCATTGTGAGAAAACAGTGGGAAGATGAGTAACCTATAGTGATCCATAGTGATCCATTCATGATAGGATTTTAATCTTACACGAGGCCACACTGTTTCTGTTTGGAGTATGAAATCTCTTGTGGAACGATTCGTTTACGACAAACCACAGGACCATCAGCGCAAACTGGTTCGTTTATAGAACCAAGTTCAGAAACTGACAGCAACCAACAAAAGACTGGTCTGTTAAACAACCATCCAAAAAAAGTGTTGAAAATCAGAAATGTTTGACATGGCATGACATGGCCAACCTGAAAAGCTGCAAATCAAGAGGCAACATCAACAAAACGAACCTATCCACTTCAAGAATATGACCTTCTACATTTTCAGGCAAGTACATAGATTTACAACAAATTTAACCACATTTTACTGAGATCACAGGCGCCGGTTCAATGCTGCCTCCACGCTGTAGCTGAGCTCAACCATCGGAAGGTGCTGACAGAAGCACTGGATGTCCAGAACCTGCATCTGACCTCCCTTTCTTTTGGAAAAAAAAGGCGCGTAGAAACATCTATCATGTGAATGTTCACTGCTAGGCATCCTCAGTTCTAAGATTCTACGATTCTATACTTTCTGCATGTTGATTCAGAGAAAAAACTCCTGCACCAAAAGCGGTACAAGGGAGGGCCTAAAACTTGACCATACGAAACCAACTTTTAGATCATCTGAGATCATCTGAGATCCTGACATACCCTCTGGCTATGTCAAAATAGCTATTGAACATGGTGATAGAAATAGTGGATTTACCCATTGAAAATTGTGATTTTCCATAGTTATGTAAACGTTTACCAGAGGGTAGAGTCTGACTCTATGCTGACTCTCGATTCTGAATCTATGATCATCTCCTGAAATTCCATCGCTTGGTTAGCTGAAAGGTGCGGCTGAGGATGATTGCCCACGTTTACCCGTTTACCCTCCGGTCATCAGTCACGTGGCTTTCTGGGAAAATCCCCCAGCTATATATAGTTCGATGATCTTCCTAGCTAGACACCTCCATTTTCTATGGGATGTCCAGCCACGTTTAATGACACCGGAGGGTGTCATGCCATTAATATCCTATTATCTCGTATTGTGATCCAAGTATGATCTCATGATTATCCTATTATTAGCCATATTATCTTATTATCCTATTCTTATCCATTGTAATAATCTATTAGCCATGATATATGGATATTGTCATTATCCATGGATATATGGAGGATATTATCCTATTAGCCATTATATATCATATATCCACAAAAATATCCTATTATCCTTATCCTCCACCAGCTACCAGCTGTCATGCCATCCGCACTCCAACCTGTTGCTCCGTGAAGTTTCCGAGTCTCTTCAACAGGGACTGTTCGGGCGACTTTAACACCTGAATGGAGCACCGGGTGTGTGAAAAAAAAACTGGTGAAATGGGAGAGATTAACACAACAACCCATTCATCATACCTATATTTTCGTCTGTCTATGACAATATCTATCTTTCTATCTATCTATCTATCTGTCTATCTATCTATCTGTCTATCTATCTATCTATCTATCTATCTATCTATCTATCTATCTAATCTATCTATCTATCTATCTATCTATCTATCTATCTATATACATATATATATATCATTTCATAATCATACTATGTTATACATCTAACAAATCAAAACAATTCTGGCAGCTTTAACCAAATTAACCAAATTATAGATGGGGTCATGCGCAGAATCTTCGCAGAATAGGGAAAACTCGGCCCAGAACCCCCATATAATTTTGATGGCATGTTCACTAGCCATAGCCTCTTGGCACAAACCTTCCCTGATGTTTTTCGCAGTCAAAAGTTTGTACCCTGCCGTTCACCCGATATTTTTGCTGGTGTTCCCCAATTTTCTGGGGAACATATGTATATATATATATATGCATCCATCTCTATCCCCAGCTGGTTAGTGGTTCACCCATCACCTTTAAAAAAAAGGTTCGTCAGCTGGCATCATCATCCAATTTCTATACATTTAAAAATCAAACATAGTATCAGTATGATCATTGTTTTAGTTTACCAATTACAGTATTTTAATCATAATTATATCCCATAAAAATATCCCATGGTATTTTCAGTGTAGATGTTTCAATCATGTTAAATCAGAAACCCCAACTCCACAACTCCACGGCCTCTGAAAAGCTGGGTGCCCCCTTTGGTACCGACCTGTTTCGGGGTTCCCCAACTGGACCATTAAGGTGAAATTCAACCAAACAGGATTTCGCATCCACAGTATGGGTTACTTTATGCTACTTATTGACTGAAAAATGTGAGTGACACCAACAAAATTTATACGGTAAAACATATGGCAAACTGATTTTTAAGTTCATAGAACTGGTTCATGAACGGTTTATGAACTTGTTACATTTTGCTAAGACAAGTTCATACAAGTTCTTTGAGGATTGACCATCTCTTCACTTCGTTCAACCAATGGGATGGCACAAAAATGGCGATATGGCCGCATAAAGCCAGTGCTGGGTGGTCCATGATTCTATGGAAAAACATGGCCAATTTATGCCAATCTTACATACTTTGCGTTGCAACTGATGAAAAAAACACTTTTTAAAAAATGAAAAACAATTGCTTACTACTAAACTATACTAAACTACTTAACCAAGGATTACCGAAGTTGTTTGATGCTGAATTTAACTCAGCAACCCATCATGATTCAGCTCCGCCAGTGTGATGGTGAAATCCATACGCGTATCCCATTGCTTCGCCAATATGATTCATCACTATGAATATCTTCATAACCACTAGTACAATCACTAAGATGGTTCAACATACTAGTCCATAGTTACTATGTACAAATATTCTAAATAGATATCAAACATATGTATATATACATATGGGCTATATATATATATATATCATAGTACAAATATTCTAAATAGATATCAAACATATGTATATATACATATATATAATCACTATAGATATCAACCACTATGAACGGATAGATCTTACTTTTCTTTTGGTGAAACACTCCAGGCCTCACGTGGGGCAGCTGTAGCAGCGGCGAATCATTGAAGTCCATCGCCTCAGGCGGCGAGTTTTGTTCACCGAGAAATGGAGATGTAAAAACCCACGGTAGAAATGAGGGAAATATGACGATATGTGTTCTATAAATGGGGGTTATATGATGTTCTATAAATGTTATATGATGTTATATGATCCAATCAAAGAAGTTTTTAACATGATTTAAAAGACATTACCGTATAGAATTTTCCGTATGATTTGGGGGAGTGCCTCGGACAATCTAAAATCTACAGAAAGTATCTTGAACAATGTCGACAGAGTGCCTCCGTCTACCAGTCAGTTCATATATGTTTATTGTCTGAATGTTCGATAGCTCATGAGCATTGCAAAGCCAGAACAAATAACCATCATCATAAACATCATCATTTCATGTAATGCAATATAGCAACAACAATAGTAACACTAAAGATGCCAAGGGAAATGGCTCTCATCAGTTCTGGACTCGTGGTTTCAGGATCCCAATCGGGGCGAGGTTCATGTGCATATGCTGCAGGGTTTTTCTCTGTCACCATTCCGTTCATCATATGAATACAATCTGGTTGGTGGTTTTAACCATCTTGAAAAATATTAGTCAATGGGAAGGATTATCTCATATGTTATGGGAAAAACATGTTCCAAACCACCAACCAGCAATACATGAACTACATAATTACGTGATATTACATGTATCCCTTCGTTTGGTCTTGCCCATTTACAAGATCTCCAAACCTCCCATTTGCGTGTTTGGCAAAGAAGAGTTGGTCTATCGTTGGATCCAGTCGAGAGAAGAATGAGGCAGGCTTCTACACAGATTACTGCACTGTCACCATATTTGTAAGCCGATGAGGCAAAATGAGTTGGAACGCGTTAGAACAGACTTCTGCAAATACATTCACATTTTTTCCAAAGCCTTGCAGCGGAACGTATGAACGGTGTAGATGGTGTAGTAGAGAGAGGGATGCAAGAACAGAAATTATCCAAAGACATCCAGAAAGTAGAAACTATGAAACAACCATCGAGAAAACATAGAAAAACCGTGGATTGGAAGATTGCTGGACAATCTGAACAGACATCTGAACAGACAGCAGCAACATGGGACATTAGGACGCGCTCGGACGCCAGGATAGGCGTCAATGGGTGACACCCCTGGCCCGCTCCACGATCTCACCTGAACCAGACATCGCTGCAGCATGATGCAGTTGCGAACCACCTCCAAATAGCCTGGCTGGGCGGAGTTCCAGGATTTTTCGTGGCTTCTATGAAAAACCATAGTTGTAGGGATGAAAAATCCCAAGCCATGGAGGTTAGAATCTACCCATCACCCATGGCCTGCAAAGCCAGGAATGAAGTTGAGGAGATCATGGATTTCCAAATCAAAGCAGTCCGAAGACTTCCAAAATGAGTCAAGAAGTGAAATATGTAGTTTTCTTTTTGCTTTGCAGAGTTGGTGGGTGTGATACTTGGATTTTGATACTATTTAATTATTTGGAAGCGAAGTAGGCCGATGAAAAATCTTGTGGACCGTGTCCTGTCGTCCATTTAGCATCAAATAAATGACCATATCTCAATCAAGACGGGAGCTCTGCAAAAAAAAACAGCCAAACTTCAAGATTTACATCGTTGGATGTTATATGTTGAGGTCTATGTGTCAACTCCCATCCACACTCAGCACACAGCTACCAGCTACTTTTGGGATCTTTTGGGGGCATAGGCATAGGCAAAACATTTGGGAGACGAATCTATCAGAAAAGAAACTGCACCGGAATATTCAATTGTCTGGTTCCATCTGGTTCCAATGTTCCAAATCTCCTCAAATTCACCACAATGGGACCCCAAAATGAGATGCGATACTCAACGATGGTTTTTAGGGTGTATGTTCTATTCGGGGAAGGGATTAATTATAGTCCTTCAGAGCAAGATCTCCCATTTCCATCCATTTCCATTTTCTCAGGTCAGCTCCCAACATCCAGCATATCTTCTCCAATCATAATCCAATTTTCTCCAAGGATAATCACATGTTCTCCAATTTTTTTCACAATTTTCAAGCGGAAATCATCGAACTAAATGTGCCATGTTCAATAAATACATTGAATTACCATGAATTACCACGGGGCAGTTGGAGAAAATTGAATTAATGGCCCGTTCACTTTAATGATTTACCAAGTAAGAATGGTGATGTTCCATAGCACACGGTTAAATTAGCAGAGGGTACCCTCCATTAAACCAACAATAGATATGTGACCATTTACTACCTTTTTTTCATCATTTCCGAACGGGAAGTTCCTTTTGCTGAGCTGTCAAATCACCAGATGGTTCTACCAGGCTACCATTCATTCAACCAGATTCCAAATAGTGATACCATGGTGAAAGCCATCTAAGAAGAGGCCCGCCTGAATGAAACCCATCTGAAACCCATTAAGACTGGTAAAATCCTGGTTCCCCAACCAGAGGGATCCTTTCTGGGCACCTGATCGATCGCCTTCACCGTGGGATGCGATGGAAATCATCGCCTCGGCATTCGTCATGTGACTGGTTATCGGAGGGGAAAAGGGATTCAATGGAAACATGTTTATTGGGACACCAATTTTTCAAGTCCGGCTAGTGTGGGATCCTGACTCACCTTGCTGATTGAACCCTACCTGCACAACCAAGAGGACAATTTCATGGTGAATACGTGAGTTTAAACAGTGAAGAAAGACTGCAAACCCGCCTACATTTTTTTACATACCAAACTTCAACCATCAAACACAGCGATTTTTTTTTGCAGTGTCATCGAATTTGATTGTCTTAGAATGGGATACTGTATATGTCCATTTTGATGGAGAACCTCATGTTCAAAATGCCGACTGTATTTTTGGAAACCCATTTATTTTGACCAACCCATTTGTTTGACACCACCACATATAGGTTTGTCCAAAATGAAAGCTACCCCAAAATCGATTGGGTGATCATCACTTTTTAATGGGCATACCGCTTTTCTGACACCCCAAAGATTAAAAGATCCTCTCCTTGGTTAGTCATATCCCCTTTTCTATCCCATTGTGTATACATATAATATATATATATAATACATAATATATATAATACATACATATATATATATAATACATATACATATATATATAATACATATATATATAATACATATATATATATATATAATACATATACACATATATATATAATACATATATATATATATATAATTACATATACATATATATATACTACATATACACATATATATATAATACATATATATATATAATACATATACACATATATATAATACATATATATAATACATATACATATATATATAATACATATACACATATATAATACATATACATATATATAATTACACATATATATAATACATATATATATATATTTAATACATATATATAATACATATATATATATATATAATACATATATATATATAATTACATATATATATATATATAATACATATACACATATATATAATACATATATATATAATACATATATATATAATACATATATATATAATACATATATATATAATACATATATATATAATACATATATATAATACATATATATATAATACATATATATAATACATATATATATATAATACATATATATAATACATATATATATAGTACATATATATTTATATAAAATATATACATATATACAATACATATATATATACTATATATATAATACATACATATGTATTTAATACATATACATATATATATAATACATGTATATATATAATACATATATATATATAATACATATATATATATATATAATACATATATATAATACATATATATATATAATACATATATATAATACATATATATATAATACATATATATATATATAGTACATATATATTTATATAAAATATATACATATATACAATACATATATATATATACTATATATATAATACATACATATGTATTTAATACATATACATATATATATAATACATGTATATATATAATACATATATATATATAATACATATATATATATAATACATATATATATATATATCCGTGAATTTCGCATGGGATCCTCAATAAAATGGCCAGTTTTTAGAACCCCATGGTGAAAAGCCAGCCACCACCACCGTTTTTCCGCCGTGAAGCTCGTCCCAGTTTGGAGGCATGGACCAGACGATTGGTGAGCTCTGCCTGCACGGAAGGCGCCATATGCCTGGGAGATGTCGACGTCGGAAAAACGACAGGTGAATCGGGATGGTGGTTACCATATGTATACATGGTACAATATGTATATATATATATTGCATATTGTATTATCATATAATATGAATATATATATATATAATTAATCATATATCAAATATATGATACCATATGATTACATACATGTGCGTCGCATTGTGTACATATTTCTATATTTGCGTATCATTGCTTTTGTACGATATGATTAGTGCTTGAGCCCCTACCATCATCTACCATCCCAGCTAGGAGTTGAATTTGGTCACAATTTATGCTCTCGTCTCTGGGACATTTAAGCGTGCCTGGATTTCAAGGCTGTGACTTACCCATTTTATGGTACCCTGAAAACGAAAGAGCTAATGAAATATGATACCATAGGATACCCATTAGGCCAGCTAGTGTAATCCGACAGCTGACCAGCTGACTGTGAGTAGAGACTCTGTGTCCCCATTTTTTCGCTCTCCTCTTGAAATCGATAAAACGACCTGATTTTCACACAACATTTAACCATACCGGCCCTGATTTATATGGATACTTACCCACCATTTATATGGATACGACCTGATTTATATTTATATGGATACTTACCCAGCATTTTTCCAGGCACTCCCAAACTCTGTGGTCGCTATTTCTGGCGCCCTGAAGAATTTATGGAGTCACAAGGGTCTTGATCATCAGCAATTTTAAGGCCAAGATATGGCTGCCAACTATGATGATCTTGGGTACCATTAGTGGGGAAACTACATGGTGATCATGGTGAGGAGGCCAGCGGCCACATGAGTTTGTTGATGATTCCAGTATTGGATCATAATACTACCCATCCAACCAACTAGTACAATCCGTTATAGTCATCAAATTATTTATCAGTTGCATATCTGTGTAAATGTTGAACCACCATAAAACATCATTTAAAAAAAAAAAACTACGCCTACACTCATTATAATTCTTCATCAACCACCAGTTGTTTTTTGGCATTGCTTTTTGATGTAGTCTGGTGAGCGGGTTCACCGTCCAACCATTGTAGCTGAGCCAGGAAGAAAACCCTATCCCGTTGCATAGGTTGGTGAACATAGCTATTCCCATCAAATGGGTTAGTTCACAAGCCCTAGTCAACCAGGTGATATAGCCCACTATTTCATAACCAACCAACCATCAAACAACCATCAAACAACCATCAAACAACCATCATCTATCAATGATTTCCTTGAGTTTTAGCAGGTACAACCCATATTTGATGATCAAGTCTCCAGTTTTCATTGCTAATCATCGTGTTTAATGCTTAAAATCATCATAAATCATCATTTCTGATGCCTAAATCAACATTTCTGATGGTTAAATCACCGTTTCTGATGGCTAAATCACCACCTCTGCACCAACCACCGCCGCGCCCAGCGCGCGGTCTCCGACCAACCGAGGGGCGCATGGAGGCGCCGCAGATGCGCCCACAGCAAGGCCGAGCAGCGGCGGATCAGCGGATCACTGAAGGGGCAAGGGATCCTCGAAAAATGGATGGCGGTGATGGCTATACAATGGCAATGGATGATATAACTATGGATATAATATAGTTGATGGATGATTAATGGACAATTAACTATATAGTGGATATTATATATAATGTGGCAATGGATAAATGGATGGCAATGGATATTTATATTAATATTAAATGGATATTATCCATATAGTGGAAATTAACTATAGTGGATGATTGTGGATATTAACTATATAGTGGATTATATTCAATGGCTAAGGATATAACTATAGTTTATTAATGGATGATATAACTATGGATTTAATATAGTTAATGGATAATATTATAGGTATGGCGTAGTTATCTATTATGAAATTAGTATTAAATGGATATTATCAATATAGTGGATATCCATATGGATATCTAATTAGTGGATATTAATGGACATAATATAATGGTTTATTAATGGATGATATATATATAGTGGATATTAACTATAGTTAATGGATGATTAATGGGTAATTAACTATAATATAGTTTATTAATAAATAATGGATATTATCCATATAGTGGATATTAACTATATAGTGGATTATGATATATCGATATAACATGTTTTTGTGGATCCACCATAGTTATCTATTATGGCATTAAATAATGGATATTATCCATATAGTGGATATTAATGGATATCTAATTAGTGGACATAATAGATATAACTTTAGTGTTATACTTAACTACGTATAGTTGTTAATACTTATGGGTATTAACTATAGAGTTATAGTGGATATTAACTATAGTGGATGATTGTGGATATTAACTATAGCGGATTATATTCAATGGCTAAGGATATAACTATAGTTTATCAATGGATGAAATAACTATGGATATAACTAATGGATATTAATGGACATAATATAATGGTTTATTAATGGATATGAACTATAGTGGACATAATAGTGGATATTAATGGATATGGATATTAATATTATAGTTGTAGTTAACATTATTGACTATATAACTATAGTGCTATTAGTGGATATTAACTATAGTGGATGATCGTGGATATTAAATGGCAATGGATATAACTAATGGATATAAATAAATACGACATAATATGACCGATGACCTGTTTTCATGGCATATTGAAAACTATAGTATTATGAAAATTATAGCCCCTTGTTAGTGTAAATGGCTATAAAATGCTTATTAAATTATTTATTAATGGATATGCTATGGTGATTAATGGATAACTATGACTAATCGGCTAATGGTTATGAACTATAGTGGTGAATATGACTTAAAGAACTATAGTGTTATGAAAATTATAGCCCATTGTTAACGTTAATGGATATGAATGGTTCTTAAATGGTTATAAACCATAGTATAACTCTGGTGATTAACGGATATAACATGATATAAGTATGACTATATCTGGCAATGGGAATAAATATGATATTAACTACTAACCTTGGGGTGCAGGCCAGGAATTATTGATAAGTAAATATATATGCTGCAATATATATATATATATCAATGGAACATGAATTCCTGTTGCTTATATCAGTGCTTTTATATGAAGATTCATGTCCCATATGCATTGGCGTTGGGAAAGTCTACAGCAAACCATGGGAAAGGTATCCACCCAAATTGTTCAAAGGAGACCCTGCAGATTGTCCCTTCAACAGATTTTCAGAACAATGGTGAGTTAACATGATTTAATTAACTAAGAAAAGGGCGGAGCCAAGCGACGACAATTAGGGGTTAACCAGGAAATATTATGAAATACTGGCATTAATCATACTCTGCACATTTCCTGAAATGTTGGGTAATCTAAATCCATGGGTTTCAATTTTGGATGATGCTGGGGAACCCGTATAATAACACGCATATACTATATGTTCATATGAAGACAGTGCTTTAACCACTTTATGGGGATACAATGAGATGCATCAACGGATACAACCTGGGATACAGCTAACAATACTATTTGGGTGTGTCTGAAATTGAGGCCAGTATACCCTCCAAATGGCCAACAAATGAAAGGGGATTTCGGGGTACCCCACATATTCAGACAAACCCGGCCCATGTGGGTACCCATCATTATAAAAACTCATTTTTTTCAGGGGAGATACTGACTTAAGCCGTACTGAAAAATCTGATTTATTCATAGGATGAAGGGATACCCCAAATTCCAGCCCCCAACCGGCTCCAACTCCTGATATGCTGCAAAAATCGTATTCATCTGGTGCTGAAAATTGGGTGTAGGGACATTGATCCGGTCAAATTATAATAATTCACTAACCTGAAATAAGGCCATTTGGGGATGATTTCCCTTATTAATCATGATTGATAGGACATTGATGGTTAACCAGTACCCAAAATTCTGACCTTTCGCGCCTTGGTTCCGCTGGCGCTAGCACAGATCTTGGGAAGATCTTTGTCTGCACCTGGCCAGGATTTTTTGGCACTATTCTCCCAAGGGGCAGCTTCAAAATCCATGGATACCATGGATAAAAAAAACATGGGATGAAAAAAACTGAAAAAAATGACATTTTATGACCATATACATTGATCATCATTGATCAATTTATGAATGATCATCCCATATTTTTATGGAACTTGATCGTTAACGACCCCCTGTTGCGCGGCACATCTTCAGCTTTCTGCGGCGGACCATTCGGAGGCCAGACCTGCGGCGACACCGGCGGTGAACCGATAACTGGACGACCTAATACGCTCTCAAAACATGAACGAAAATATATGAAATAGACAAAACAATATGTGTATATATATATATATACACGTGTGTATGTATGTATATAATCGTATTATATATATACACATACATTATGGTATTATCTAATTATATTTTATAATCTGTGTAAGAGAGTAGCCAAATACCCTATGAAAATCTGGGAGTGTCCCATCGATGCCGTGTATCATCCAAAGCACCGCAACCAATTCAGAATAGCATCATGAGGGAGCGGAGCCTATAGCGATTGCTGGCTTGGGCGTTGTTTCACCCCTGCAACTCGTTTGATTTGACCAACAAGAGTTGATTCAATGGGAGATCTCCAGGATCCTAAATTGGAGGTACGTAAACGTACCACATTTTTGGCCATATTTTGTGGGGATATTATCCCTCAAAAATAGGCCATTGATTGATGGTTTTTTGCGATTTCAAAATGATTTACCCCAACTTTCAGGATCTGAAATCAGTCCATTGGTGAACCACCCCGGAGATCGACTGGCCTCAACCTCGCACTGGCCATCGGCACCTCACCATGTCAGATGGGGATATGGATGGATATGGGTACCAGGTGAGGCCCTTTTTTGTTAGTAAACTTCGCTATCTACAACCCTCATCGAAAAAATGGGTCAAAATTAGATGCTCAAAATGGATTCATACTAAAAATGGTCACAGAATGTCACAGAATCACAGAATCTGAGCTTTTGGGGGCCTGATTTATTGATGGAGATTGATGGGTATGATTTGCCGTTGACCAATTGTGATAATTGTGGATTGATGGAGCAGAGTGATTCCCTCTCCTGATTGGTTACCTGCTCCGCTCATGTTGCTTTAGTCCACAACCAGACAGTCGCTACAAAGCCATATCGAACCATTTTTTGCTGCCACGATTTACCGAAAATCACCTCCTCATGGCCAAATCCTAAGTTCATTTCATCCAATCCATCCAACGATTTACCATTCCCACATGCGAACCAATGGTGCTGGAATATGCACACCAAGCTTTACCCTAAAAATCACCCAGTCATGTAGGGTAAATATACCAGCACCATGGAGCATATGGGATTGCGACCAACTGGGATGCCGTGCTAATTTTCTTCAGCAAACCTTTCCGACCCTTCCTCAAGCGGCCAGCAAAACGAGCGGCCCGTGGCGAAAAAGATGTCACTAGTCACACGGGCCCCTTTAGAAAACGAGAACCAGTGACAGCAATTGAAAAGACAATTAGATGCACATCATACAAAAAGAGAATTGTGATTATATGCAATTAATTCAATATAAACATGTATATATATATATAACATGTATATATTAACATGTATATATATAATTATATATATATATATGTCTGATAGCCAACCAAGATAAGCCTAGAACATCATATCATCACTCACGGTATTGCACAGTGATCCAGCAGCGCCCCAGGACATGGCGGCCCATGCCGCTCAGCCATCGCTGGGAAATCCCCAACCAGATGAAGATCTGACGACTCTGAAGGCATCACGACACCCGACTGTCTTTCTCCTCATGGGACGCGACTTCCCAAACTCAGCCTCTCACTGTTCGCCAGACTTGGTGTCCTGCGATCCAGCAGAAGCCAGTGACGTGGTGTCTAATGAAATCCATGACAACCCATGACACAACTTGCTTCAAAATGCTAAACATATCTGAAATGCCATGTTATTTCTTCTGTTCTACTGACATTCAATGGCACTTCTCCAAAATCCTGCCATGCTTTTGTGGTCGTATTGACACGCCACTGCAGCCATTCTCTAAACACAAATCCACTGTCAGAAAAAACTCCGCACTGTCAATACTCTTAAGATCTCTTAAGTGTCTTTGTGCAATTTGGATCGTTTTCAAATGAGAGGCTTCAACCATTTTGATCCAAAAATGGGGTATCTCCAGTAAAGGCCAGGCCCATTTAGAGTCGACATTCCCACACCCTCGAATTCCTGGGGTGCCTGTTTATGACTGCCATGATCATTTTCGGATGGTTGACATAGTCATCAGCAGAACAGCTATTTTGGCTTGCCTAAATCCCATTTGTTTGCTTTAAAAATCCTCTAATTATGGATACAGGTTTGTCTGAAAATATGGCATGCGCCCAATTCCAAGGGATTGCCAATATATGTCCTACGAAAAATTATGCGATTTTTAGTATATGGTTTTCCAATACCCATATTGCTATACCCATATTCCTACAAGATATATAGCCAATATATAGCCATTTTTATGGTATGCGATATATGTTCAGTGACATACCCAGTCCTTGCCAAAAAGGCTATGGATCAAAACTCTGGTATTATTCGGTGGTCCTTTTTCGCCACGTTTCAGAATGAATTTCAATGAATTTCACATAGTGTTGTTATTGAAAAATATTAATATCCCATGTTTCAATCAAACATATTTGGATGTTAGGTCCTGTTAGGTATCTTGTTGGCTTGCCCATCATTGATAGCGAATTCCTAATTGTGTGTCGTAAGATCTCAACTTTTGATACTAAATACTAGATGAATTTGACCCATATAGAATAAACATATCTCCCCTCCAGTAAACTAAAATAGCTATGGAAGCCATGGCCCATACATTAGTTTGATGCTAAATCCGTTTTTTGAAACATGGTGATTTTCCAGTTCGCACACCGTTAGCCTAGTTTACCATAGGTTTATTTTTCTACATGTTTATAGCATTTTTTGACTAGTCCGGTGCTAAACCCTTTTTAATTAACCATCCCATTAACCAACCATGACTGGGATCTCTGTAACTTGGGGATGGTTACTATAGCATTGGGTTTACCACGAGTAATTAACCATGTTTATATAATGCCATGGCAAAACCATGAGCAATTTACCCTATATAACAATTTGGCCTACAGCACTATGTTTACCATATAATAAATAGTTCACCACCAATAATTTCCCACCAGTCATGAATTTACTAACATATGGAGGTTTCCTAAAACGGGGGTACCCCCAATTATCATCCACACCCAATCCATTTATTTAAAATGATTTTCCATGAAATAAACCATCTATTGGGGTACCCCAATTTGAGGAAACCTCCTTACAGTATGTTATATACCATAATCCATAGTTGTAGGGGGGCCCATGTCCCAACATGGTCGTTATAATTACAATCATTTATGATCCTATAAAGAAACTCTCATACCCTCTGGTAATTTAACAGTTTGCTATTGAAACTGGCCATAGAAATAGTGGATTTCCCCATTGAAAATGGTGATTTTCCATCGTTTTTTGTATGTTTACCAGAGGGTAATCCATGAATTTCCAATAGAAAATCTCCATATCTTCCCCCGGAGCCCGTTGTTCGATGTAGAAAACCCAATGGTTTCATCGGAAACCGCACCACGGGACCTCCACGACGCGCACCACGCTGTTCGGTTCCATGGGCTCGGGGTGGCTCAAGGCCATAGCCTGCTGCGAAAAGAATGGTTCATATGTTGATATCCATTGATATCCATTGATATCCATTGATATCCATGTTTATCATGGTACATATACATATATATATATATACATATATCATCATATATCTAATGGCTAATGTTGGTATCCATGTTTAGTGTGGTTATGCTAATTACTAGTTTTGATATCCCATATAATAGAATATATATAGTTATATAAGTTCTACATATTTCTATATATTTTATTTCTATAGTGATCCAGATATGTGGGTATCCATTTTTACCGTGGTTCATATCTATTGTGCTAGATAATGAATAACGGGATAAATATGGATTGCCCCTCAATATGACGTAACTATGGTATGGGGTCGGCCCATTTGGAGATGTTTTACATGATTTACATATATGAGCCATGGTCAATACTCACTATATGGTTGATGGTCATCCCATCCATAATAAGGATCCTTATAATGGTTATTATAAATCCCTATGAACCATTGGATGACTAGCCCCTATTAATGGTTATTAACCATGAGTATTGACCATAGCTCATATAAAAAGGTAATGTTCCATAGCCAAGTTGCCACAGGGTACAGATTTAGTGGGGTGGTTAGTGGGAAACTTCCTGTCACAGGAAATTTTTGCTGTAGGAGTTTAATTGAAACTTCATAGCATGCGAATGGGGTTTAATCAGCAAAAATCGAATTCAATCAGAAAAAATACACGGGTATGTCCAAATATTGGGTATACTTAAATGAAACTGATGATAAACCATCAAATTTGCAGGTATATACTTTCCCTTCTTGCAAATTCATTTGATTTCTTCGTTTCCAATCTGGAACCATCCAAGATTCACCAAACTTGAGTGACGAGATGTTTCTGGTGTCAACACCCGTAAGAAGTCATGCGCGTGGTGATGTTTCCGGGGGGGATGGGGTGGTGGTGGGGTGGTGGGCGGAGGTGGGCTAATAACGTGCTCTTGCTCTCTTGCACTTCCACACATACGTCATGCTATGCTGCTGTGCATTCTCTTGTACTTCCGTACGTCACATGCACTTGGGAAGAAAACCCACTGCTAAGTCTTCGTCTTTGGCCGGCACGCTTTGGACAGACAATGGGACTGGTTAAAAAGTCCAATTCTAAGGCAATTACACACACAAAGACTGCAGACAAGACTTTCCAAAACTTTGAAGTACTTGTATGTTGCTGTGTCGGGCAAAACCCTTACATTTAATGTCCTCAACAAACTTGGCGAACGTTGTGCTTGAAGAAAAAAAGAGAAAGTGAGAAACTTTTGCAGGAAGGTACAGGCACACGAAATAACAGTTTCGTTGTGGTAAAACACCGAGTTTTGCAAATTTGAGATGACCCTTCCATAGAAATTCAACCACAAATTTCATGAAATGAACATGTGCAAATATCAGATTACATCAAATTACCACAGTTTTGGGCATTTGAACAATCACCACGGCATTGGCTGATGTCATCACCGACACGGCCTCTTACAGACATTTATACCATGTTTCTGATCGCCTGAATTTGGATGTTTGGAAGTCAAACACGTCGATTTGAGAAACCATGAAGAAGATGTTTACCACAAACAACCACCATTAGTTACCCACCACCCAAGAGTTGAATATGCGAAATTTCACAAAAACTAAGGATCTCACCGACAAAAGGAGTTCCGCCAATCAATTTCATGTCTGGAGCAGATGCCAGAGCTGACACCCAGCCAGGCGCCTCAAAAGTCCTCCGAGCATCCATACACAGCTGTCGGCGTTCCTGACCGCAGATGCTCTCTTTTTGGGTGGGAGATCAACGGGAGAGCAGTTCCATGGTTTTTCCCAGTCCCAGGTATAACTGTATAACGGCCATTGAAATAGTGGTTTCCCCTTGCCATGTTGGCAATGTCATTTCACCAACCAGCAAGTCAGCTTAAGACGACTCAGGAATTAAATCGGCAGATACGGGCCGCTAACAACGACAGTTCAGTTGACCCACAAGAAGTGGACATCCACAAAACAACTGTGATGATTTTAAGCAAGCACACTGCGGAACTACAGTAAGCAACAGGTATGGAGAGACAAGCAACCTAAATGGGTATGGCTGGTATATGCTGGTATGGCCCGGCATGGACCTTTTGTCCCAAACAACTGACATATCATCAGCAAACATTGAAAGCTTTGCCAATGGGAATGGCTGGAACGGGAGGTTGAATATGTAAGGGATCGTGATTGAAATCATGAATGAAATTTTACCAACAATGCATCAATATCATTCAATATCTACATACCTATATATATATATACATCTAGCACGTATAACATATCCTAACAAATTACTAATGTACCTACGTCGTCTATGTATCAATATGATCGTATGATTGTGACAGAAAAACTGACATGTGCAGGCAGTATCAACGCATCGAACCTCCGCAGAGGCTGCAAGTAAGCCCACAGTATCTTCAGCAGTCACCTGCCGGGAGCCCAGTGAATTCATGAGAAAAGCATGTGTAAATGCGGGTCATTGCTGTTAAAATGAATGGATTTTCTATGGCTTTGCTGGATACTCAGATCGCAGGTCGTGGACTTACCGTTAAAGCCCCACGGGTGAGTTCTTGCCCTACCTGAAAGCCAATTGATCATTTGAGGAAATCCACACGAAAGAAAGCCATAGGAATAACAAGTGGATATGGCCGAATAGTGGCAACTGTGATTCAGGACAGTTTACGTCTCCCACAACAGATAGTGAATGGATTGGTGATATTTTGGTATCCGCACCTTTTGGAACATGCAAACTCTGACAGTTGACTGGTGATCATGATACCCCTACTGTTACTGGATTACGGTTTACATTGCAATGATCTTGTCATCATCGTTGATATTTTGGTTGATTGCAACCCTTGCGGTTCATAATTTATATATATATATATACCATCTGGTTATTTAACATAGCCATGGAAAATCACCATGCTATTAAGAACGGTAAACCATCTATTTCTATGGGCCATCAAAAAACCATGGCTATGTTCGTCATAACCAGAGGGTACCTACATTTGGATGATTTTCAGGGTAAATGTTGGAACATATTCCATAAATTATTCAAATTCTGAGTATTTTAACTGAAATCCATATTCTATCGGTCAAACGTCAATTCTCCAATTTATGCAGCCAATTTCTCCTGTGATCCACCGGCGCTGCCAGATTGCTTAGATGTGCATTGCAGTTAGTAGGTGGTTTATAACCATTACAGTTTAATACGATATATATATATATATATCCCATATATATATATTATAGATGATATATCCCATATATATATATGTATTATGATATATCCCATATATATGTATATAATTGTATATACATACATATGTATATGATCCATATACTTGCCCACGGATTGTCTGGGATGCACCGATGCACCCGGGCCTCGAGATTGATGCAGGCGTTGAAGATTTTCAGAGTCTCCGCACTGACCCCATGACTGGAGACATTGGAACCCCTGGCCATTGACAAAGGCGAACATGGTCATTTTAATAGTTGGAGCTAATGGTTAATATCCATTCACAGCCATTTTTGATGTAAGATCCATTAATAATTGGACATCAATATCCATTAGTAGATAACAAAAACTGATTAAATGAATGGGATGACAGTGGTACTTTGATTCTGAGAGCTATGGAGAAGTAGAGAAATATCTTGACCCACGAGGCCACTGTATATCACTACACATCACTAATTAATGTTCAACCAGGATCAATGAACCCCCGAATAGGCAGGGTTTATGGGAGCTAACTGCCTGGTCAGGGCTAAAAAAACATCCAGGGTTAACACTATCTCATGTCCTATCCAAGTCGACAGGTTCCTGATGTCAATTTATCGCCAATAATTATTTGTATATACATACTATATATATATATATATATTTATTTATTTATAATATAATATAATATTATATATATATATTAATATTATATATAATATATAATTATATAATATATAAGTATGTAATATATAATTATATAATATGTAAGTATGTAATATATAATTATATAATATATAAGTATATAATATATAATTATATAATATATAATTATATAATATATCATTATATAATATATAAGTATATAATATATATAATCATATAATGTATAAGTATTAAGTATATAATATAATTATAATATATATATATAAATACATAGTCTACAGTCTACGATTCCTCTGGCCGAATCGGGTGTCATCGAACTGAAGGTGGACCAGTCGATTCAGTGGCTTGCCGGCGGCTTGCCGCCTCAAGCAACAGCACACCACAGAGAAGGGAACGATGAAGAGCACCGCGAAAAAACAGCACAGGGTGAAGATCTGGTTCTCCTTCGCTGCACAGGGAGATGTCACACCAGGTTTTCCGTCAAACTGAGAATTCCTCTATGGCGCTGTTAAAAGATCATGATTTTGATTGCGGTATGATAATTACACATCATAATATATATATATATATAATATTCACATAGAACATCTTAGAACTTTTTTCCGATAGATTCATGCTGACTCAGGATACAGAACCCTCATGTTTCTGAATATGGGGGCTGCCATTTCCAGTAGGACTTCTTGATGTTCTTGGTTTGTCCAACCAATTCCACCATCAGCGCTCCTTCACGAGCAGGGCAGGATGAAGGGCGATTCCCATCTGCCCGGCATTTTGGCAAACAAGACTGGAGTTTGGAAGCGGAAGTCAGACTCAAATTCGAGGTCTACAAATACAGGTCCTAGATAGCAAATAGTTTAGGGATGTTTGGGGTTTCGGGCTTAGGGATTGTATCATATTGTATCTGCTTTTATGTTGTGGCAACCACCATGCGTGGTGATAGACGATGTACAAGAATAGAATATCACATTGACATGTCCCATGAGAGACAGGCAAATAAGCAGAATGACCAGTCGGAAGCACAATGGTCCACAATGGTCCACATATCAATACTGGTTGGTGGTGCAATAACCCTCTTGAAAAATATGAAAGTTAAATGGGACGGATTATCCCATATATTATGGAAAACTAAAATTCATGTTCCAAACCACCAACCAGTTATTCCCATAAATGGTTGGTAAACATACAAAAAACTATGGAACATCACCATTTTTGAAACCACCGGCCAGTTTCTTCCCTAGTCCTTTGCAACTTGGCAATCGGTCATGTCAGAGGATTCCACAGGGCTGCGAATCAAGGCACTTTGGCTCAAGGCGAAGCCAGGCTCCAAGTCACTCAACATTGAGAACCATCTGCATTGCGATCATTGCGACTCTCAACTCAAGTAGGGGATACTATAATGAGCCAGTCGAGTTTAGGATTCTATACTTTAACAAACCATAATAAATCCGTGGATTTTAGAGATACAGAGGCCCATTTTGAGTTGTTTGCGGCCTATCATTCTTCCCTAATTCCCTGCAGCTCCGGTTCTCTGGGACGACGGATTTGACTCATGTCAAAGGAGGAGAAATTCATCCAGAAATGGACAGGTTCGTTTGGCACCACTTCGCCAGCCAGATACACTGAGGTTTGTCTGGAACAAAGATAGCTTCGAGATTCACCTGGCAGTGTGTCAAAACCAATAGTACCCCTTTTTTGTTCACATCAAAATAGCTGGGTTAAAATGGATGTTCATCCCACTAAAAATGGTATTAATAGGTATTGATCCATACCCACCTGGAAGTCTGAACAACATTGGATGGCGGAAGGTGCAACGCTGCTGCACATCCGAAGGAGGGAGATTGGTCACAATGTCAAACATCTTCTCCATGCGATCCCAATCCGATGGCCGGATGAATCTTCGCAGTGTGGGCATTCCAGATTCAATGGCTGGTTCTGAGCTCTGCCGCCTGAAAGCAAGATGCGCCTCCTTAACATCGAACACAGCAGTTTCATTGCTTACCAACAGGGCGAATTCAACGAGTTCATTGTAGGATTCCACCACTTCAGAAGCTGTGCTTCCAGCACGTCCTTGAGATTCAACGGATTGTGCCGAAACTACCGAGTTAATCGGTGGTGCAGCTTGAGACGAAGCCTCAGGAGGAGCTTCAGCTGACTCCGGATCCTCTTTCAATGCCTCGGCACTTTGATCCGACATGTGTTGACCCAACTGCCCCATGAATCACTGAAAAAAAATGACAAAATGATACAACTGTATGGCTACATTCAATCCAGATGCTAATAAACAATAGTCCGTTCCTGTGGCCCCTTGGTTTGGTACCTTGGTTTGAAAGACATCGATCGACACTGCACCATCTGCACCTTGGAGGGAAATCCTGAGGCCCCGTGGCATGCTTCCAGCGCTTGTTCCGTCATCTTGAGAACTCAGAAAGTGCAAAAATCGTTGGCGACCTTCCGAGTCCAGGAAGAGGTCCAGGAAATTGGTCTTGGACAATTTCTTACTGGACTTCAGCAAGCGTTCGAGGCAGCTTGCATCATCCACAATGCTGCAGCTGCTCTTGTCCAAGAGTAAATCACCATCACAAACTCCTCGCAACACCTGGCGGAATCCCAACATCAGAGATGAGGCGTCACTGGCATCGACTTTCGCGAAGATGATGGACCGCATGGTGTGATCAACCACTACAATGACCGCAAGAACAAAGACGTGCGACACTATAAAGGAATAAGAAATCATCATACTGACACGGTCCACACCAACCAAATGCCATTGATTCCAGAGCATCAGAGTTGCTTCACCTGCGTACAAGCAGAGCATCGCTTTCAAGTCGATGAAAATCACTGACATGAAAATTAATCCCACTCCACAAACCTTTTCCAGAACACAGAAGGTCACCAAGTCTGTTTCGTGGGCAATGCCGAGGGCCCATAGTCCGTGGGTGAACACATAAATTGCTTCGACATAACTGGGCACGGCATCTTCACCAGTGATCCTTTCTGGAAGTGCAGAGAGAACATAAGAGATCGCTGACGCCAGAAATTGAGTCAGTGCCACCAGACTTGGATTTCGCATCAAACTCCAGCCCGTCACCAGAGTCATGCAAAAGGACACCTGATTACCGTTGCTATAGAGGTTCAAACGGCCTGAAAAGTATGAAGCTGCCCAAATAATCTCGTGTTAGTGGATCATTGTACCCCCGCCATCCCAGTTTAACCATCTTCCCAATTTCGCTTGGCCTAGGGATTCTGTCTCCATCATCAAGACCATAACAAAAGATAACAAAAGAATGAGACACATCACATCAAAAATATCAAAATCGAATCAACATATCTCAATCTGATACATGAAAACATATGAAAACATATGAAAACTCCACCGCGACACATGAATGTGGATTTTCTTCACCTTGTTCAGCATCTGTGCCCTGGTGCGGTTCAGCTCCCGTTCGTAGCGCTGCGATTTGTCCCGTGTCTCGTCGTGTCTGGTGACGCCCAGCGCCTCAAGGGCTGGGCGAAGGTCGGCCGGACGCGTCAGATGCGACAGGTGCGCAGCGCTGAAGGCGGCCACGGCCACCACGGCCACGGCTGTGATCCAAGGGCAATCCATTGGATCCATGGCCAGATTTGAAGTTTGGTAATGTTTCGTATCACCAAAAGAAACTGTGAATATCTGTAAATATCTGTAAATATCTGTAAATATCTGTAAATATCTGTAAATATCTGTAAATATCTGTAAATATCTGTGGATATCTGTGGATATCTGTGGATATCTGTGGATATCTGTGGATATCTGTGGATATCTGTGGATATCTGTGGATTGTAGTATTTGGGTCTGACTTTTTGAGCCATGGACAGAAGCTGATCCACTTTCAGCTGTTTGGGACAGGTCCATTGGGTTCCATGAACGGAAAATCACCCACTGCTGCAGCCCCATCAAGCCAGCCATATATATTGGCCATATATATATGTATATTATATATATACATGCATATGCATATACATATACATATACATATACATATACATATACATATACATATACATATACATATACATATACATATACATATACATATACATATACATGTACATGTACATATACATATACATATACATATACATATACATATATGCATATACATATACATATATATACATATATGCATATACATATACATATACATATACATATACATATACATGTACATGTACATATACATATACATATACATATACATATATGCATATACATATACATATACATATATATACATATATGCATATACATATACATATACATATAAATATATACATATATATATGTATATTGGCCCCAACATCTGTTGGAAAACCTTTTTGATCTCATGAGATCAAACGAGTTCATTAGTCTCATCTAGGCATCTTCTGGCCTAGGTCAACAGACGTGCAGGATCCATTGCCACAGGCTTGTCACCTCACCCTTAACCGATCTTCACCGTCTAAGTTTCATCCCAAACAAAGGAAAAATGAAACGATACGAAACGGCCACGTTTCAAAGGCCACCCAGTTGAATTGAATTCACCACAGATCCGAACATTTGACCCTCAGCCAGCTACGGATCCTGCAGGAGAAAGAGAACTATACGATTTCTCGTCTCGGGTCATTCGTGTTCGGTGACGGCACAAATCCACACATCCACGAGGATCCGTGCACGGGGCTATACAACACCGACAACACACACCTGTTGGAAACGTCGTTCAACACACCTGTTGGAAACGTCGTTCAAGACTCTGTGCAAAGTCCAGGGGTCACCCTGTGACGACTGTACGAACTGCGAACTGAATTGACCACGCATTTTTCATGGCCAGGGACCGAAACTGGATTGGAACCCAGATGAAGATCAAGTATCTGCCACATCATCCCCCTATGATATGGCGATATCATCCCCACATATCCTACTGAATGGTTCTATCCATCTCCTCAGTCGAATATCATTTCCTATTGACATTTCCAAGTAAGAACAAACAAAGAGAATAGAAACAGAATGTTTGAATCTTACAGGTGAGCATCAGGAAATCCAGGCCAAGTATGGATATCAATGGATATCGATACCCATGATAAGGATACCAAATAAGACTTTGATAGGATTTGTTTGAAATAGGACAACCCCCCTTCCACAGCATTATAGCTATTTCTCGCATTCAATTTGCCATACATTGCGGAGAGGCAATCATCTATTTTTGGAACAAACTCATCTACACTATGGGTAAAATCAGTTCCTCCTTCATGGATGAATTTGTTTAGTCTCATACTTTTGAAACATATCCTCACCACTAAAAAAAAATCCCGTACCTGGCTCAGTCATATGTCAACATAGCGGTATAGTATGAAAATTTTGGGAATCCCATTGTTACCAAGGGATGAATTCATATTTTTTTTTTTGATACCCTCTGGTAATACAACAAACTATGGAAAGATCCACCATTTTTGGGAAAACTCACTATTTCTATGCCCAAATCATGGAAAATCATGGAAAATCACCATTTTTAATGGGTAAATCCACTATTTCTATGGCCATTTTCAATAGCTAACTGTGACACAACCAGAGGGTACCGTCCAGGACACGGACCCCGGCTCATACCCGATCAGATTGCCGACCTGGTCAGAGTCGGATGTGAAAAAATTACATAAGCACTTGTGGTATAGAATCTATGTATTATCATTATTACTATTATTACTATTGTTACTATTATTACTATTATTACTATTATTACTATTACTACTATTATTACTATTAGTACTATTATTACTATTATTACGATAATTACTATTATTACTTTTATTCCTATTACTACTATTATTGCTATTATTACTATTTTTGCTATTACTACTATTATTACTATTATTACTATTATTACTATTATTACTATTATTACTATTATTACTATTATTACTATTATTACTATTATTACTATTATTGCTATTATTACTATTATTACTATTATTATTATCTTCACTATTATTACTATTATTACTATTATTGCTGTACTATTTTTATTATTATCATTATCACTATTATTATGTACTTATACATGTGTATATTATAGAATCTGTGTAAATAATAAATATACAGATATACACATATATATATAATTATATATATATATATTTACATGATTACATGCATGTATAGTCTGTATAGTATCTAGATCTATCACATCGAAACCACAGCTGCCGGTGCTTGAGACTGGAGGCTCATGGGAGTGTGGTCACTCGGCTGTGCGATGAACTCGCTGAACTCGCTGCCAGATGGCCTGAATCAGAAGCGACCAGGCGACCAGGTCACCATGATTGATGCGAATCTAAAACAATGAAGAAATTAAAACCACAAACCCGATGTTTCGAATGGTTTAGATTTTGATATATCAAGGCAATATGGCTCAATGTGGTAAGGTCAACTTCAATACTTACATCGGGGCCCAGTTGCTACTCCAGCCAGCCTAAGGCGTAGAGAAAAAGAGGATGCGTCATTCATAGAGGACTACCTCTCATAGTCATGGATCCAACATTCATCCTCTGCAACCCAAAAGCAGTTTGCAGGGTTCCAGGTTTCCGTTCAGTTTTTCAGAAAAAAAGAAAGTGGCGCCACTTCCAGACCCAGAGATTGCAACCCAACAATGACTGCTGTTGGGACTTCAAGGTTGGTACCAGAGTTTCTGGTCATTGGCCACAGGTCCCCACCCGTTGTATCATCTGATGTCTACATATCATATGTACATGGGTTTGTTGAAAAATTGGGGATACCCCAAAGCGGCAATGTTAGTGGGGAAAGCGATGATAAAACATAGGATTTGGGGGGTGTTATTCTTGGACAAACCCATATATTTGGAAAAAAATGAAAGTCCTAGCTGGTTAGTATACCCCCATTCGTGGCAACGGATAGCAAATCAACACAATTTACTTAATATGTACTATTTAGAATATCTACACTTTATTATTGCTATTATTTTTCTTATTATCTTTATTATTGTTATATTTTGATGTCTATTGCTACTATTGTGATACACGCCTGCACATGGGGTAAAAAAAACATCTCGCCTTCCGCGATCTAGGCATGTCACAACCGCGCCACAGTCCTCAGAAATCTCTTTAAGAAAGCAACGCTCCTTGGGATTGAGCATGCATGAAGCATGCTTAAATAGCAATTGAACCGCCAGAATTGGTGTTTTACCCTTTTACCAAGCAAAAATGGTCAATTTTATTGTGATTCAACCAAACGAACTGGTTTTCTGATCGCAAGAGAAATCAGGAGCGGGCCCACAAAACAGTCAGCAACAAAGTCACAAGATTGTAGCCGAAGGAAGTTTAGGAGTCAAACTTCCGACAATATGGAGAGATGAAAAAGCAGAGGTGGGAAGAGTCAGAGAAGAGAAGAGAAGAGAAGACGACTAAGAAGAAAAAAATCAGAAGAGAAAGAGTCAGAGGAAAAAGATGCAGGTGCGCGAAAAGGTAGCAAAGTCCGATTCACCGTGTTTTTCCAATGATTTGTGGCTCCGGAGGGTCGAAAAGAGGCTCGCCAAAGCGGCGGGTGCAGAGCCGTCTGGGGAGATGAGAAATGAAAAATTGCACGCCGTTGTGGCGCGAAGCACATTTCGAAGTCAAAATGCGCAAAGCACCCAAGGTTCGGAGCACTTTTGGAAGTTGCGATGTCGAAAAAGTGCACGCCGTTGTGGCGCAAAGCACATTGCCAAGTCAAAATGTACAAAACACCTCAGTGCCGGACCGCTTTTGGAAGTTGACATGTTGAAAAAGTGGATGCCGCTGTGGCGCGAAGCACATTTCCAAGTCAAAATGCACAAAAAACCTCAGTGTCGGACCGCTTTTGGAAGTTGACATGTCGAAAAAATGGACGCCCGCGGCGCGAAGCACATTTCGAAGTCAAAATCTACAAAGCATACCATTCTCGGACCACTTTTGAAAATTCAGATGTGGTTTTGCGTGGCAGGCGCAAGGGATTCTGCGCCTTGCCAAAAGTGAGCCCAAAAAAAAGGCTTTGTAGCAGTTCCAAAAAATGATGCAGGCATGGGACATTTGAAGAGGATCTGGAAAGATGCATGTCGCGTGGCAGGCGCAGTACAAGAGACATGTTCATCAGAGATGTTAGGGGGTCAGGGCGCTGATTTCCTCAGAGGGGTTGCATTTTAGAGCATCAGATCTTCAGGTTTGCTAAGATGATTTTGCGTCACAGGTGCAGTACTTCGTATGACCTGACATCACTTTTGCGTTGCAGGCGCGGCACTTTACCCAGATGGAGTGGAGAAATCGCAAAACGCAATGGTACGAGGCCGTCAGCTCGGCACTCAACTTTCCATTTGTCAAGGAAGTCTCGCAGAATTGCTTCGTTTTTGATCTTGCCAACTTCAAAAATTGAGGAAGTCTCGCAGAATTGCTTCGTTTTTGACGTTATCAAGGTCAAAAATTGAGGAAGTCTCGTAGGATAGCTTCTTTTTTTCAAGCTTGCAGGTAGACAGATAGACAGACAGACAGATAGATAGATAGATAGACAGATAGATAGATAGACAGACAGACAGACAGATAGATAGATAGATACACAACTACAACTACCACTACCACTACCGCTACCACTACACTACACTACAACTACAAATCCAAATCACTACCCTACATTACACTACACTAATTGCACTGCATTACACCAATTACATTACGCTAATTACAGTACACTACACTAATTACAGCACACTACAATCATTACACTACACGTAATTACAAATTGAGGAAGTCTCGTAGGATAGCTTCTTTTTTTCAAGCTTGCAGGTAGACAGATAGACAGACAGACAGATAGATAGATAGATAGACAGATAGATAGATAGACAGACAGACAGACAGATAGATAGATAGATACACAACTACAACTACCACTACCACTACCGCTACCACTACACTACACTACAACTACAAATCCAAATCACTACCCTACATTACACTACACTAATTGCACTACACTACATTACAATACAGTACACTACACTAATTACAGCTACACTACAACACTACAACTTTCTACTACTTACCGACACTACACTACATTACACTACACTACTGCTACACTAAAACTACAACTAGAACTGCGCTAGATTACGCTACACTACACTTAAAAATACAACTACAACTATGACAATAACAACAACAACGACAACAACAACAACAACAACCACAACCACAACCACAACCACGACCACAACCACAACCACGACGATGACGATGACGACGACGACTACTACTACTACAGCTACAGCTACAGCTACAGCTACAACTACACTACTTCACACTACACTACACTACACTGCACTAGACTAGACTACACTACACTACATTATGTACACTACACTACAACTACAAGTCCACTACACTACATTACAACTACAATTGCAACTGCACTACACCACACTACATCCAGCAGTTGTGGGTGAGGTAACCACTGCAACCATTCCAACCACTCCAAAAAACACAACTCCAACCACCTTTCGGTCCATCAGTGGATTCACTCTGCCATCCATGCATCACAACAACTCACCTCTCCTATAGTGTCCTATCCTTGAAACTTCCGCCACCGCCTTGTGCGGTAGTACTGGTAGCTAAGGGGTATGCATAAATAAATATGTATATGAAATTATGTAATTATATATATATAGCTGTCTTTTCCAATAGATGGATCTTTTAACAAGCTGAAAGCCGGACGTATCGGGATAGACAGGCCCCACAGACCCTGCTTTCAGCGCTTATAGGTCATGGAAAGAGTCAACTGCAAGGGGAGTCAGGGTGGCGAATCACCAGTGGACCAGGGCTGACTTTTGGGGTTGCTGGGTGTCCACACCTTGGCGAATCACCATGTTTAACTTGGCACCATACCAAATGCGGCCCTTTATGACAGTGGAATCGCGTTGGTTATTGGTTGAATACATGCACCCACGGGTATGTGGCCAACCTGATACCTCGCGGCAGTGGGTCTCCGACCTTCCTATCCTCCAATGAAGGCACCTCAGACACAGACTAGGGAACCAACAAACAGGTACCATCCAGTACCCCAAGATTAGATAGAGAATGTCCCCCAAAAAATGGTGTTGAAACAATTTCTGAGCATTCAAACCTCCATTTTCGGGTACCCAATGGACATTGACAGCATCTACAAGTGACTTGCAAACTACCCAACTCTAAGTCAATTTGTAGTTGGAAACCACTATGATCGAGACATCCTGCGGAACATGGCTCCTATGAACCAATAACCACCCTCTATTCTGTATAATTGATGTCCTAATCTGGTCAGTTTCTATATGTCTGCAAATGTCTTGATACCAGGTAGTGGACGCCCCAGAATAAACAGGATAGTTGCGGATAGTTCACATGCTCGGACGTCAACCACCATCCAATTTTGGGGTGTGTCCTTTTGCCGTCCACTGCTCCCTGAAGTATGTGGACATAACTTCTTGACAGCCATGGCCAACATAAGCTACCAAACATGTTTCACAATGAAATGATGCTGTTCCACTTGGCCAAAAAAAATATCCATTTACCAACTCGGTTCATGATTCACCCATTAATCACCATTAATCACCATTAATCACCATATATCACCATATATCACCATTGATTATGACCATTAACAGCTTGCAATCTACCCACATCTCGATTTTCTGGAGCCATGGCAGATCAGCATTCGGCGTTCGGCGCCTCCATCTCTGGAATGCTCGAGAGGGTTGACTCCTCCAGCCCTGAAGCTCCTGACCGAAAAATGGGCAGGTCATCGAAGTTCTCAGATGATTTCACATGATTTAACGGGCAACAAGTAGATATTTCATGGGCAGAACATGGAGATCTTTCAACAACTTGGTGTTTTTGTAGAGGTTGAAACCCATGGGGCCCCCATGGGGCCACTTCGTGAAGTTGGTCCATCCCTTCCAGCCCCCGCTGCAAATGGTCCATAAAAAGCAACTATAGGATTTGGGGTATCTAAATGGGGTACCTATAAATATCTATAAATATCGAATCTATAAATATCTATAAATATCTATAAATATCTATAAACATCTATAAATATGTATAAATATCTATAAATCTAATTCATAAATTTGGGATGAATGGTCAAGCAGCTGTAAAGAAAGCCCAGACCTGCTTCCAATTCAGCCAGGAAATCTTCATCGTAGACCTCAAAAAAAGTTTTTTGCAAAAATGGGGGGGGGTTCAGCAATGATTTTATGGGAATATCATGGTGGTATATGTATATAACAATCTTGATATATCTTGATATGAAATGTGGGATAGCCCCAAAATAGCCACTCGATAGGGAAAATGATGATAGGCCAGTGGATTGAGGGGTAGCCTACTTTCGGCGCCGCATGTGTCAGTTGTGATATTGACCAGCGAAAAATGGAAGAGGACTACGGCTAAGCCACAATCCATTTCAATGGTCCATATTTTTCTTTGATGGACGTGTAAACCCCATACATGCACATACTAAGATACACAAATCATACAACTTATAAACATGTGTGTATATATATAATGTAAATATGTAGACATACTTAAAGACAATATAAATAATATACATGGATATTATATATATATATATATTATTTATATATATTATATATATATATTAAATACATAGCTGGTGATATTCTGAGTCCTGTTCCTCTTCCGGCTGAGTGTTGCGCAAATTTCTTGCCACCGGTGGGCCAGGGAAAACCACAGCCTCAGCCAGCGATTTTTTGGGGGTTCCCCCAACTCACAAGTTGGAAATACAGAAATCCCAGGGAACCAATGACGGATTCCCGTCGGTTTGTGTGTGTTTACTGAAGGGTAATCCATGGTAATCCTTCAATCCATGGAATCTTTCATCACAACTCATCTCAAGGAATCCTAGGGAATAATCCCCAGGGTTAACATCATGGGCTTTGTGGGGGATCTAACTATCGTATTCATGAGGTTTTCAATCATTTATGAACCGATATGAAGCAGCTAAAATCACTGGGCCTCATCAAGACTTTCTAGTCGGGGCATCTGCCAGGCCGCAGCCGATATATTCCGATTCGATGACCGCTTTGAACCGCGCAGGTTCTAGCTTCGCCGGCCTCAGAATACGCTGAAAAAACGAAGAAATTTAACGGTTGATCCCCAACTGACATATCTTCTGACATGCTATATCTGCTTGCATTCTATCTGACATATGCGCTGACATGTTCGGCATTCCATGTGGCATTGTGGCATTACTCACATTGTATCTGACATGGTGCTCGGGTCAAGCCCCAGAGAGACCGAAGTTGCCTGATGAATCCCATCCCGCAACAGACCATCTTTTTTTGGCACCAGAAAATGAAGAAATCCAGCACTGAACATTAGGGTACTAAACTGAGTTGGGCTCGATCCTTTGGGGGAAGGGATTACCCTGGTCTTGCGAATGGTAGATGATCAAGAAAAAAAAAGCAGCATCCGAGTTACTAACATTATGTAATGATTGTGGTATCGTTGGTTAATCAGCAGCGACCGGTCACTTGTCACATTCACCCTCTGACTTGACCCGCACTGGAAGCGCATATCCTAGACTCCTAGACTAAGACAACAAAAAGCGACGAAAGTTAGAATGAGTCACCAACAAAACCTGGTGATCAAAACTCCAAATCACGCTGCATCGAAGTCTTTCAATTTTTGCTGAAAAAAATACAATTTATGTGTGATAAGTATTGATAAGTCCCCTTATGAAACCCTTGTAAAACCAACCTAACATTATGGTAACCTTTAAGAACCCGCCAGTTCTGAGGGCAGAACACAGGCCTTCCAGGCATCTCTAAGGTCCTGGTGTGTGCTTGGATCACCGATGACAATGTGGGGATTTTGATGGGATTTTATTATCAAACATGAGGAATTTCATGATTTAGGACACTTTTGAAAAGAGAACATCTGCGAATGGTAGATGGGTCAATTTTCATGGATTTTCCATAAATCTCAGGATACATCTCCTGGAAAATCCCAGCTATTTTAAGGGATAGCCCAGGGCGATCCCTAGGTTTTGACCCAGCAGTTGTTTGGTGATCTGGAGGATCACCCACGGATAAGTACGGGTTAAAGCTCCTGTGATGAGGCAACCCCCAACAATAGCTAAGTTTTTTTGTTTGGCGATATATATATATATATGTATAATATAATATATAATATAATATATATAATATATATAATATAATTATATATATAATATCTTATATACATATATAATATTCAATTTATCTATTTATGATTTATTTATCCAAAAATCATCCAGATCTCCGAGATGTCCACTCTAAGCTGGCCTGCAGGTCCGCTGCGAAGCCTCCGATGCCTCCGAAGCCTCCGTCTTCTTCGTCTTCTCCACGTGCTCAGGGCGCAACAGCTCTGGTCTTAGGTGCACCTGAACTTCACAGATAGATCATAGCTCAGTGATCCATATATATATATACTATATACATACAGATATTACAATATATTATAAAATGTATATAATGTTATATACATAATATAATATAATACAATAATATAATTAATATAATGTAATATGATATAATATAATATAATATAGTATAAAAATAATATAACATAATATATCATAATATATCATGATATATCATAATATATACAATACAATATATCAAAATATATACTGTAAATATTACAACAGCGAACTCTATGCCTCTATGCTTCAACCAAATGCTCAAACCCAAAGCAAGAAACACACCGTAAGTTCAGCCAATGAGAAAGACACTTTCTGAAGTCCAAAATTGTTGCAACAGCAACATCGGCCAAACATCTCATCTCTCTTTTGACAGCATGTACGGGATGGTCGTCAAGATTACCAGTTGCATTCACGACTTGTTGTTTGAAGATGTTTGAAGTGGAACGAGAAACCAGAAACCCATCAGTTTCATAATCCCAACAATTACCATAGGGTAAAAATGGGTAAAGTAACAAAACGATACAAAACAATCTGATCTACATTCATGGTGGCTTTTCCACATCAGTTCATTGGTTTACAGAAGGGTCCATTTTTTGCAGATCTGGCATTCACCAGTTCCAGGAAAATCATGAACTGTGGGGTCCCTAGTCGCTGATCACGGAATTGTCTTTGCTTGGAGGTCATGTTTCCTGCTATATCAATTTATATAGATTTCGATCACCCTGCGCCAAGTGCGTTGCTCTCCGTGTAAATCATGGTAAATCAAAATCAGAAACAACAAATGATGCAAAAAATGTGAACGAAACCACACATCTGATTAGTTACCCTCCGCTCATCAGTCACATGGGAAAATCCGCCAGCTAAAATTCCATGATTTTCCTAGCTATAAACAACCCTCATTTTGATCAGGGATTCCAGCCACGTTTGATGATGGTGAATCCCCATGAATTGTCATTCCAAATGAAATTACCACAAACATCAGATAATCAATGGCCATTTCAGGAACCGATCTATTGGAGGTACCTACCATATATAAGGCCTAAGGCCTACGAAATTTCAAGGAATATCCCCAGAAAATATGCCCAAAAATATGGCACTAACGTAATTACCTCCATTTTAGGATCCTGAAATTTTGAGATACCCTCTGGTAAACTAACATAGCTATGGAAAATCACCACCATTTTTCATGGGAAAATCCATTATAAATGGTCATTTTCAATAGCTATGTTAAATTACCAGAGGGTAACATCAGATAACATCAGTATGAGATCCCCATGAACTCCAGTCTTTCTCCAGCCATGTTGCCACCAAGGGGCTGTGGTGAACTTACTGTCTGGCTGCTCATCCATCATGGCAAAGGGATCAAAGGCAACTTCACCCTGCACCGGCATCTCCTGGGAAGAATTTTTTTTGCGCTGCAGTTTTCCACTGAAGATTCTGGATTTACCCTCTGGTAAACTAACATAGCTATGGAAAATCACCATTTTCAATGGGTAAATCCACTATAAATGGCCATTTTCAATAGCTATGTTAGTTTACCAGAGGGTACTACTGTTGATGGGCTTTAATAGGGATATCAGAGGACATTTCATGGGATCGGAAGCAAAATTTCTGTGGGTGATAATGGTGATAGTAAAAACCATAGCTTCTTTTGGGCCCCCCATATCCCAACTTACGGAGGTTATTTCATCCCATAGTTCTACCCCCCCTTAATCCCAACTGCCTGCACCCGCGGTGACACGTTTGTGAAGCTGCTGGAAGCTCCCAAATCATCCATATTTAGGATTTTCCATGAATTTGCACCATCCAGCAGGGTACCAGCATTTATGGAAAGCCCCGTTTCCATAAATGCTCATGTCCTCGCTGCGAAAGCGGATGGGTTTGCCATCTGCTTGTTGCCAGTTCACTTCGTAGACCTGTCGACATCTGCCGACGAACCGAGAACGGCTGAGAATCGAATCCGATGAACCACGACATCTGCCGATGCTCACAATGCGCGTTTTTTTTCTTCGGGAAAAGAAAAAAACAGATTGGCTCCATGTTCAAACCCAAACCAATACGATTCAAACATGTACTGTATAGGTTCTATTGATTTTAGGTCTCAGAGATCCAAACCCTTTCGTTTGTAGACTCACGGTCGCCGAAATGGATTGGATCAGCTCTGCTCTACCGCCTATGTATTTTTATTCTAGAGCCTCTAGAAATGTTTGGAAATGTTTGGAAATGTTTGGAAATGTTTGGAAATTCACCCAAAGAAAACCAAATCCCGGCAGAACACATTCCATTCCTTCTGAGTTCAGAATTCCATGGCATGGACTTCCCACATCTCCATCACCAGCTGCCGCGCCGTCAAAGGGACTGGAAAGGTGACAGACAGAAGGTTGGCCCATTGCGACCTGGCTTCAGTGGGGATTTAAGTCATGGTGACTTTTCGCTGGTTGGTGGTTTTAACCCCTCTGAAAAATATGACTTCGTCACTTGGGATGATTATTCCCAATATATGGAAAAATAAAAAAATATAAGAAATAACTGGTTGGTGGTTTTAACCACCTTGAAAAATATGAGTTCGTCAATGGGAAGGAAAAAAAAACATATATGAAATGGAAAATAAAAGCCATGTTCCAAACCACCAACCAGGTAGATGTTTGTAGCGCAAAATTCACTCATGAAGACTAAAACTGTCAGACCTGGTCAGCCACTTGGGGCGTGTTTTCAGAAAATGTTCAAAGAAAGGTGTCCAAATCAACATCAATCAACATGTGTATCCCATTTTAGTGCCCCATGTTTTTTTTGGCCCAATTCAATCCACCTATCCCAATCAATATCCATCCACATCGCACTGTTCAGGCGCCATGCGATTGGATCAAGGTCAAGGAGAGTTCTTGTTGCTGTTATGTTGTTGTTGTGGTTGTGAAGCGCACTAAACACCATAATAAACCAATAAGGATGTAGATTCTTGCAGACAAGCCTAAGTTGAAGATGATGAAGATGTTGTTCGGATAAGAAATTCGAGTATCACCCACGGTATTGGCTGTATTAACGAGCAGTTTCATGGTTGACTTTAGTTTAAATGTGTCTGCACCGAAAGCATTGCTTGTTCTGTCAAGGAACACCAGAAATTCTCCTGATGTTTTGGAGACATGCAAAATTGTTGTTTTCTCGGTTTTTCGGTTTTGCAGCTCCTTTCCTTTCCTCCCATGATCTATGTAATGAAAAGCGTGGCCACCCAAAAATAATATTAACTATATTAATATGTAGTTCACAATCCCACGTCGTCTAACTTTGTTTATCACCATGTATTCACCATGTACGTAATAACTCATAACTGTAATAACTGTAATCTTCACCTTGATCATCAATATATCATCATTCATCTTCATCCGTGTTTTGACATGTGAATAATCCCATCACCCTAAAATCTTAAACACCCCATAAATGGTCCCAATGGAATGTGGAAATTCCCTACAAAACCATGGTTTCTAAGGGGGGGTTAATCTTCAGATCACCGATCACCAAAAGACAACCGTGGACCTCCGTAAGCCCTTGAGGCAACGGAAGGCTAAGAAGGCGGCTTTCCTCAGGAATTTCCCGCTGCTTTAAAAAAGGTGGCCATTTGGAAATAGTAAATTGATAGTAAACCATGATAGTATATCATAAACTATATTATTGATAGTATATTGATATATATATATATAATTATATATATATTACGTATGTTATATGATTATAATACGTAGTATGAGACATTGATAACCTTAGTAATACTTAGTAACACCTTGTAACCATGGGGGATCTTGGCATGTCTTGAACCATCTGGACAGATCGACAGATCTGGACAGTATGACAGATTATGAAACGCTGCCCAGCAGATCCCAGTGACTCATTTTCACAACTGTGTCCGCATGACTCCTACTGTGGATGGAAGAAATCCTACACCAGTTGATAGGTGGTTTATCCCATTATTTATAGGGTTTCAACCATCCAAGGTGGTGCAGGATTTCTTCCACCATCAACAGTATCATAGGCAGAAATCCGATGAGTGATCGCCAAAAACTTTTTTAAAAAAACTAAAGATCTTTAAAGATTCATGGTGAACGATGCCATTTTTTTTTTTGGTGAGACGGCATGGTTCACATATGATGGCATCCTCGAAAAATGCATGCAGATGCAATGGAAAACAACCAGATTCTGCTGATCAAGCTTCAAGGTGGTCACCAAGCCAATCGTTCCAAGATTGATACACACCTGTCATCGCAGTCGAACAACAAAAGGGGGATCATGGTGGAACAAACGAGGTTTAGCTGGGCATCCAAATGTCTATTTCATTTGTGGGCAGGAAAAAAAAAACAAAACAAAATTAAACAAAATAAAACAATTTCAATTTCCAAGCTTTACTCCCTACGAACCTCTAGGGTCCGCCAGGAAATCGTGGCGGTCGAAATATGAGCTGCTTGGGAGCATCAAGCGGAGGTTGAGATCTTTGGTTAAGCGGCTTCACCCAAGACCCAAATTGATTGATCAAGAAACATCAAGGTTTGACATTGTTGGATAGATCAAGAATCAATGGAATTCAATGGAATTCAATGGAATTATCATGGCCATTCAATTGATTCAGAAATATTGATCCAAATCCAAATATCAAGAAACATCCTAAGATAGATCTGACATGATGGCAAGTTTAGCCCTTCCCGGGCCGTTCCCATTTGCGGCCCAAATCCTGAAAGGCTCAACACCAAAGATACCCCAACACTTGAGCACCCCACATTTGAGGAAACGGAATAGTCACAACCGCAGGTGCAAAGCGTTCTGGCGCGGCTCGGAGATCAGAAACCCCAAGGTTCAGCAAGGCCAAATGGCTGTGTATATCAACTTGAAACATGGGGTCTGTAAGATAAGTTTTTTTTGCTGGACTTGGCAACTTAATATGGGTTCCATCTTGAATTCAGGGAGTGAATCAAGATTTCTGTCATCTGACCATGGCAAGTGTCATGCTTCCGCACTTACTCCGAACAATTACTTGCCTTGAGTGATCTCAACCATTGATTACATGACTTGGATATTACTTGGACACCCCAAGGGGGTCTGGAGTTCGGAATTGGATCTCGAGTACATCAAGAGAAGGAATGAGGCACAAGCGTTACTAAAGGAGTGAATCAGGCAAAATGAGGAATCAGGACAAAATATGACAAAATGCTAAAAACCTAAACTTCAGGAATTCAGGAAATAATATCTATTTAAAAAACAAAAAAAAAACATCTATACATGGACTTTCGAAAAAGCAACAAAATCAGCAAAGCATCACCAACTCTCAGGCTATCTCAGGCTGCGACTGAGTTTGGTTGCTGGGAACCTTCCAAGTCAACGCCTCAGATGTGCCCATTGACTCGGCATCCGACCAATGGACTGGACGACAGCCGAGGACCCCAAACGTACTGAGGACGCAAGTCCATGGAAGCGATGTAGGCCTTAGCGATAAAGCCATGCGAAATAGCCGGGACGCTACATGAAAAATGTGGAACATATGGCTGCTTTTTCTGGCAGGACGCCACCAAGAAACGAATTGATGATTTGTTCAGAGATTTTGTTTCAGCTGAAAGCCATAGCTGACTGGTGCAAACTTTTAGACTCATGGCTACTGTAGCGTTGTTCGCCCAGTTTTTGGGTACCCCCATGTTCTTTCGCCGTTGAAAGAGATGGATCTCCTGGTCCATTCACCCTTCATTTCATCACAGTGAGGTCATGATTTAAGTCATGATCCAATTCATCATATAATGGTGATACAATGAGGATATATTAGGATATATTAGGAGATAATTGTAATAACATACTATAATTGTGATGTAATGGGATATATGATTGATATATATATATATATATACTGGTTACCCCAGATTTACTTTGCACTCGGTATTGTTTCTGTGGGTTTTCTGCGGTTTGTTGTGAGCTCGTGATCTCCCGAAACAACCTGGACCATGGTGCCATGGCCCCCAGGTTGGGCGCCCCCAACCAGCTGCTGCAAAGTCAGCCCGAGGCCATAGAGGAAACAAACCACGGAGATGATAAACACCCAAGCTCGACCTGGGCGAAGCTGGAAATCCATGGCTTTTGGGGATCATCTCGGATTGGTTCCCACTGGGCCGAGGCCAAGATGTGAATAAGAAGGCACCATGATCTTCAATGCAGGGAGCTAGTAACCGTTTTGTCAAATCTCCCAAAAAAATCTTCTCAAAATGAACTGATTCACATCATTATTACCATATACTATCTAATAGTATATCATGTTGCGGGTTTCACCCCCCGAACAAAGATGCTCGTCATTGGGGATCAGAATCCCATGTTCAACGGTATCCTCTTGACATCCCCATGCTCTTACATCCACTTTGCCACATTTCTTCTATGGTTTGTCTCAAAGAGCTGGCATGTTGAACTGGTCACGTCAAAAAAATATAACATATTATATCAATTATATCACTTAGCATCCAATATTAATATCATATAACATCCATCTTGCAACATGATCACATCCTAACTTCCACGTTTTTCTCCGTCAAAATCAATCCCCAGTCGCGGACTCCCATCTCTGAGTGCCTGACTCATCCTGATTGGATAGCGCCTACGAAATCCATGGCTACAGGGATATGCTGGCAATATATGGGGTATTTTGAAACTCAACAATTAGTGATACTATATATATATATAATAATATATATATATACATAATTATATATCTGTCAAAGTCATTATATATATATATATGTATATTATGGTTGTATTCAGCAGTTTGACTATTGTTCGCAGGATTTCCGGTTCCATGTCAATTGTACAGCTGGTCGGTTCCGGTCAGCAACAGGCTTTTCCGTTTTTTTTCTGGGCGCCCTGCATGAAGGCAAAAAGGATCATTGGACAGACCACAAAGAGCAGCACCAGCAAGTTCCACACCTCAGCGGAAGTAACGACTGGAACCCGCGGATTGGACGCTGCACCAGGGGCTCCAGGCCAGAATGATCGGGGCCAAAGCGACGGCCAACCTCGGCTGCAAAAACTTGGAGGAAAAGGAGTGGAACATTTGGACCTTGGATGTGTTTGTTTGATGTGATTTATACGTGTTAAGCAGCCCGGTGAGACCCCCAAATATGTTTGTTGGTTTACAAACCCATGAAAACTAGTTCATAATCTATCTACCGTTCATTTTCAGAATGATGAACCTTTACTGTTGGTCCCATGATACGAAGCAAAGTCGGCGAAGCCACAGACATGAGATGTAGCACATGCTATCACCAAAGCGAGATATCTGGTACGGCAATGGTTCCATCATTGTTCGCAGCAAGAGGAACATCCTGGGCAGTCTGGCTGCCCAGCTGCTGAACGATATTTAACTTGGATTAGCCAGGAAAGGCATGAAAATAAAGTCTGATTGGCCCTTCATAATCCCAGGTGAAATAAAATCTGACGTTGGAGCCATCTTGTCTTGGAAACCCAAAGAAAACAACAGAACATGCACTTCCCAAAGCCACCTCATCACAAAACAAACACCCAAGCACATGCATATGAATTGTCATCCTCGGCGAGATCGAACACCTGAGACTTCTCTGTTGCCATCAGCATCCATCGCAAGCATCCGATCTAAGTATGGGTCCAAAAAAGATTCACCGCCGATGTTGCTCATTTAACTATTTTACTAGCAGCATCTAGCAGCAAAACCATCCATCTTTGCCCACTATAAATGTACTTTACATTAAATTTTCTTTTAGAAAACAGTGCAAAACCCTGGAAAAAACTAGTTTTTTTCGAAAAAAACTTTAAAAAAACATGGCAAAACCCTGGAAACAAACGATAAAACCATATAAAACCCATCAATTTTGGGGGATACCCCAAGGACCTCAACCAAAGTCGGCCCTGAGGACTCCTGCGCCATCCCGAGCACGCGGGCGCATGGCAGGTGCTCTGCTGTAGCAAGACGCAGCAAGGGCCTGGACACGGGCGGCCACCAAATTCATCGGGTTTTTCCGGCAGATGTTCCATTTTCCCACCCAATTCTGGTGTGCCAATAGGCATGTGGTTCAGGCCGGCCATATTTCATCCAGTAATGATAGTAACGTTTAATGATAGTAAGGTTATAGCCAGGAAGTTTTCCTTTGATTTTTCTCCCAATTACCAACTAATGTAGGATGCATGTCCAAAGTCACTCTTTGATCTGGGAATCTGGGACGCAGCCCGGGTACGAACCATTTGCATGTTTTTTGGTGAAACCCTGCCGGCCTCCCAAATTCCCATATCTCTGTGTGTCATACTAAGAAACTAAAGCCGCACGTGTGATTTTCTGCATGTCTTCAAGAAAAATGACCGGCAATATTCACTCAGAGCTCACATTTTAGCTCACACTGCTGGTATTTTCAATCGGCCACCAGCGTCAAACGTCCTTGACCTCAAGCCATTGAGAAGCTGCAATCGACAAGGGCGTTGCACCGCTGTGTGCCGCTTGATCTTTGGCCGCACCCAGCTGCTACCAAATAAAATCGCACAAATATCGCATAATGCGGAGGTGGCCATGTTGATGTGCGGTGAACAAGGGTGTTGCACCAGCGTTGTCTGCTTGATCTTTGTCTGCACCAACTTTTACTAGAAGCCGAACAATGTCGAGGTGGTCATTGTGAGCTGCAGTGAATAAGTTGCACCAGAGTTATCTACAAGGATATGCCTGCGGAAACTGCAGGTGTCACCGGGCATCCAATCAGCTTCCCCAACTCCAGATCAGGACGCGTTTTTACATGTGCTGTGTAAGGCTCAAGCAGCGTCTTTGGCTACTGAGTAGCCAGAGACGCTGCTTGAGCCTTACACAGTACATGTAAAAACGAGTCCTGATCTGGAGTTGGGGAAGCTGATTGTATATGTTATATTGTTGAAATTCGTTGACTTGGGATCATCCTTCATACGAAAGCTTTCAATTTGCAATGAGAGGTGGCCATTTTGAGCTGCAGTGAACAAGGGTTTTGCACCAGCGTTGTCTGCTTGATCTTTTGCTGCACCAACTTGTACTAGAAACCGCACAATGTCGAGGTGGCCATTCTGAACTGCAGTGAACAAGGGCGTTGCACCAGAGTTATCTGCTTGATCTTTGGCTGCACCAGCTTCAACTAGAAACCGGACGACGTCTAGGTGGCCATTTTGAGCTGCATGGAACATTGGTGTCTGCCCTCGGGCAATCTCAGGCTCATCTGTCCACAAGTTGAACGTGTCCCTGCTCTGCAGCGTGAAACAAGGGCGTCTTGCCATCTGTCTTTGCGTCATTGGGATTTCGTGGTTGTTGCAGCAACTGTTCAAGAGCAACTAAATCATTGTCCTGAGGGGCTGAGATCATTTTCTGTGTTTCTTCATCATCAGGTGGCCAGAACTCCAAGACCACCACCTGGATCTTAAGTGGAGTTGGAGTTAGAACTTCATATTTCCTGGATCTCATGCGAATCATCTTCAACAAAAAACTTTTGCTTGAATCTGGAAATGCCAACTTTAGCTGCCAAGGCTTTCTTCACTGCCTTGGCTGTTTGGCCTTGTAGTTCATCTTCAAGGACTGTGAGTGTCTCGCCCGAGGCTGGGAAACAAAACTCCATTGCTGCAAGACGCAAGGTGATGTGCGTGTGTGTATACAAACCATTACACAACAAACTCATGATGGATAAAATGTTGATAAACAAATGTCACAATTGACCTGCCAAACGTTAGATATGCACAGCAAACCTTCACGATAAGAATACATGCTTTACACAGTACTCCATTGTGCTTCTTGAACGTTTTCAGTCTGGACAGTCTTCACATGCAGCATATGTCATGATAGGGAGGGGCGCTGGGGAAGAACCCTCCCGAAGATTAAGATCTTCTGGCAATTGCATCTGAACCTTTGCTGACAAACATTGATTTTCTGTATTGCAATTGGCAGAGCATGCCACTGAAATCATGTGGTTTTGGGATTTTAGCATGCAGTCATATATGTCCGAGCAGTGCTACAACTTGTACAACTATATCTACATGTGCCCATTGAACGCCTTTCTTGACAGCAAAATCAGCCTAAAAACTTTCAAAAAAAGAAGTCCAGAAAAGGAAGGCAAAGATGGATGAAGGTGTTGAGAGAAAAGTACATCTAACTGGATACTCCCAATGGTTGATTCCCTATAAGCCCATCATATTCCTATGATGATTGAATCATATCCCATTTTTTGGTTATTATATTCTTACTATTACTTGGGTCAAGTTCCCATTTCCATCGTTCTTTTAACGCACCAATTTTTTTCGGGTCATTCAACCCTCATTTCCACCCGCTGAAACCGTCGTCGCCTGTAAGCAGCCAAGGCTTTCCAAACCGAGCGAATGCATGGGCAGTGTCGATTCACCCCGGACACGTCAAGGATGAAATCCTGGACTTTGATGATTTCCCATGGGAAATCCCAGCATTTTATGTGAAACCAGCCAGATTTTCTGCTGGGATAAATAAAAAATGGCAAAAAAAAAGGAGGAACAAAAAAAAAGAGTGGTAAATTGGTGGTGCACTAACCCGAATCGTGGTTTTTGTCAACATAAGAGACATACCCAACATCTACAGTTCCAAACCCCCATGTATATTGCCATTTCAATAGATGTTCCCATGAAAAATAGAGTTAGTTCATCCCCTAGAACTATTCCATTGCTACCCATGGCTACCCCTAAATCCACTGGCGAATCATAATATTCCTGAGTTAGAACTGCTATTTTTGTGGCATCTCCAGTTTCAGGCACACCCAAATCTCATACGGTTGTGATGTGATTATATCCGTGATATATATATATATATATAACCACATAAACGGCTCTCATAAATTTCCGTCGGTATCCCATGTTTCTTTCCGTTTCATCTACAAAACTCAATCCCTGGGAGAGAAAACTATCCCATCATATCCCCTTAAATATCCATCAAATTCCTATTGCTGATGGTTAACCCCCTTTTAAAATACATCTCATATTGTTGGTGATATATCTCATCATACTACCACTAGCCATTGTTGATGGTGAAAGACCCATCCAATCTCCCCAATATCGAACACCAGCATGGTTATTCCGGGAATTGCTTAGTGGGAATTTAATATGAACCAGGTAAGGGATTAGTAACTAGTAAACCAAGCCATCCCTATGTCTGGATAGATCATAGTAATTCACTAAGCTGAATAAGGCGAATAAGGCCATCTTGGGAGAGTTACCCCTACGAATCGTTTTTAGGGTTATATCCATCTGTATATCTGTATTTATATACCTATATATCTATCTATATATATATATATCCCATTATATCTCCATAATTGTTTATATATTCCTATTAGATTTCCATTCTATTCCCATCATTGTTGTTGGAGAAGGGATTCGCCATTAAATAAACCACCACATAATATACTAAGAAGAAGGGACTAATATCTATGTCGTTGGGTATATTCCCATGCTCATTGATTAGTTGGTTCCCATCCTTGATTGGTTAGATTCCCCATAAATGGTTGGTTAAACTCCCATGAATTGTCCATTAGTGTCCATTATCATTATTATCAATATCCCGCTATACTATAGTTAGTGCTCAGGTTCAGCCAATCCTTGTTTTACAAAGCTGCGCTCTGAAGAAAGTTTGTTCAAGTCAATGACATGACGGTATGTCATTGAAGAAACAAGGGAACCAGGGACCAAACACACCCTGCTAGCAAAGCCCCTGCAGAAGCTAGGACCACACACTTTGCAGCAGGGAGCAAGACGGTCCCCAGGCACACCAGTGAAACTTAACAACAAGCAAGCCAAACAGGGTGCCCTCCCTCAAGGCCCATGCCTTACCGACAAGAAAAAGAAGCACCCTGACACCGGTGTCCAAGTCCCTGGGTGGCGGCAGGGGACGTGGAGGCCTGAAGCAAAAGATGCTACGGATTGGACACAGTCACCTTCACACTACCAACACAGGAGGACCATAAGCTAGTGCTCAGGTTCAGCCAATCCTTGTTTTACAAAGCTGCGCTCTGAAGAAAGTTTGTTCAAGTCAATGACATGACGGTATGTCATTGAAGAAACAAGGGAACCAGGGACCAAACACACCCTGCTAGCAAAGCCCCTGCAGAAGCTAGGACCACACACTTTGCAGCAGGGAGCAAGACGGTCCCCAGGCACACCAGTGAAACTTAACAACAAGCAAGCCAAACAGGGTGCCCTCCCTCAAGGCCCATGCCTTACCGACAAGAAAAAGAAGCAGCCTGACACCGGTGTCCACCTCCCCCTATCCTAGCAGTTTGACTGCTGAGAAAAAAGGTAGCATAGGCTCAAGCCAATTTGCCACAGGAGAGATGGGATGGCCTGAAAAAAAAAAACGGAATTTGTGGCAGCAGGGAGGTGGGAGGGAGGTTTTCACATGTTCTCAAAGGTTTTCACAGGTCAAAAGAGTAGCGAGGTCGAGCCTTTCTGGCTAACCTTAACAGCTTGGCTCTAATTGGTGGCTCCAGTTGGATTTCGGTCAACTGGGCAAAAGCATCCGTCAAGTATATCCTAGCCGTTTTAAGGCTATTCCATCTGCCAACAAAGCAGACTCGCGAAAGGTCATTAGATACCCTAAACGCATGTGTAGCACCTCCCCTTCGGAGAGAATACCATTGGTAGCCTTCGGGGCAATCCAAATCCTTAAGCAGCGTTTTTAACCTTAAACGCATAAGACCAGGAGATACTGTTCGCAAATAGTCACCAGGGGCCAAAGCACGCAGGTAGTTTGCCAAAGCAGTTACCAACCAGGGGTCATCAATGACCAAAGACTCATGTGCTCCCACTCGCTGCCCACTTTTGGTAAGCGGAAGAGACCAGACAGCACGGGTCTTAGCAGCATTCCATGTGAAGTCGCCTTTTCGAGCAAAGAAAAGCTCACCTGATCGTGCATACCGGTCAAAACCTAGCAAGACAAGAATTGCCAGATCTTCCCAACCTTTTTCAAAAGCAGCTTGTGCCAGGGCATAGACCATGACCGGGACAAAAGGGGGAGCACGGGCCGGTAACTCAGCTCTTGTCCAACTGCCATGTAGTCTCCAAGACCCTACTAAGCAGCGTTTACATTGTGGGACAAAATGCCCCAGCCCCGACAAGCAATCACTAGCATAAGATTTGGGATCTCCATTGTGCCACAAGGATTCAATGAACTCTGAGACCCTTGAATCAAGCAGAGAAAAACTAGTGGGGTAACTGTACAAGTGACACTTCAGAAACAGAAGAAAACGTGAAACCGCCTCAAGATACCTTTCTCTAGTTGCCTTAGCAACAACTAAATCTTTTAAGCACCCCAGCGCCTGCCTCTCCTTTTTCCTTTCGAACTGGCCACGTCGCCCAAGCACTTGTTGCTTAGGCATTGGGTCGTTTCTTTTTGGCCCACCTCGAGGGCCCATCAGCGGGATTCCACTTACTCTTCACCCAGGCCAGACATAATCGAAAGTGAGCGGCGAGGCTAACGGCGCTGATCCTCCGAAGAGGTCCTTGGAGTGCTCGGGCGGAACTGCGTCCCTTAGAGATGCAGCTCAGTGCCACCTGATTATCCACCAGGGTCAACATCTTGAGGCTGTGAAACTTTGGATCTCGAGCTTGACGCCGGAGCAGGTCGAGGACAGCCACCAACTCCAAGACGTTGATGTGCTGCCCTTTTTCCTTCCAGGCGTATGACAGGAGCACTTTCCACACCCAATGTGTGGGATCCACGCTCTGTCGACAAAGTTCGCCAACAGCATAGGGCATTCCCAAATCGACCCTGATTTCGGCATTGCGATGAGTTCCATTTCGGGCCAGGAGGTAGCTCAAGGCCTCCTCATCGGTCAGCCATCCTTGTGGGTCAATGAGCGACCGCAACGGAGCGACAGGTGACGGCAAGATCTCGTGAACGAGACTCACCGCCCCGGGTGCCCCTGCAGCCACGCTTGAAAACCTTATCTTCCAAGGCTTATCCTCTTGCCGGGCTTTTTGCTCCTTTTGCTGCCAGACCTGCCATAGCAGCAAGGTCACATCTTTGTTCTTGCATTGTTCTGGTGTAGCAACCAGTCCAACTAGGAGACGGGCGACTGAGATGGCAGAGAAGCTATTGCCAATCATTTGCCCCTTCAGATCATTGCTCAAACGATTCTTGGCTGTCAGATGGTTCGAGCAGAACCCCATCATTCGAAGTTGTTCTTCGGGAAGGGGGCGACGAGGGCCGTTCTTGTCAACCACCAGGTTCCGCTCTTCATACTGATACACCTGCAGCCGGAAGCTGTCTCCTTGCCATCTTTTCTTCGCTCGTTCTGAGGCCTGGTCCAGCCCAGCAGGGCTGTCCGGAGGAGATTGACGTGGAATTGGCCTCGTGAAGGTTGCGAAAGGGTCTTCAGGGCCTTTCATTTTGGAAGCACCCTTCTCCAGGAACCACTCCAGAGGCAGCCTTTCTGTATCCACTCTGACTTCCTTGACATGATATTCATGTCCTCGCATAATGACCCTCTGCAAAACCTTCAAGTCATCTCCAGGAATGATGTCCACTCCTGACAGCCAATAGAGACGTGGTCGCCTACAGCGGCCCAGCTGAGCCGCTTCCATGAAGTATGGAAGGAAGCCTATCTTCTTCGTCTGCACCTTGAAGTCCCCATCATCCATGACAACATTCTCGTACATCTCCACCAGTTTCCACTCAGGCAGGTTGAGCTTCCTGCTGCATTCTTTGAGCCATTGCCGAATTTGGAGCATGCCGTCAAGAAGCTTGCTCGTAGCACCTTCTGCACCCTGCCGGTGCACATTCAACAGGGAATGGTTTACACAGGGCCATCCTCCAGCCAAGATGACTTGTGTGACTTTTGGGAATCTCCTCCGCCATTCTATCACCTGTGCCTCAGTGATCGTTGTAATGTCCTGGATCCAAATGGCATGGCGGCAGTGCTGCCGGTAAATCCGACTGCACTCCGGGGAATTGTCAATGGCAATCACCCCTGCTGGCTCGAAACCCAGGAGATCCAGGGCCTGCTTGAGGCCACCCATGCCCGCGAAACATTCCACTACCAAGGCGTTGCGGGTGCCGCCTCCTTCTAGACCTTCAGTTTCATGCGACATGCTCTGGAGGCGGGCATTGCCCCAAGGGCTCAGCGAGGTGCTACTACAAGCTCCGCCACCCTCAGGACTGGCATCCGTAGCATACACTTGACCCGACACCTTCAATCGCAGGTCAAGCCAGTGCATAGGCAGCCCACAACTCAAAAGCAGAAGCTCATCTTTTGCCTGCTCTGTCATGATGCGTGGCTTCTCCTGATTCATTTCCACATAGAGCCTATCGAAGAGGCAGGCCAGTTGCCGGCAGAACTGCACCGAGTGCATGTTCTTAGAAACCACAGACTGCAGGCTGGGTGAGTCGGCACGGACCTCCCCCCCGACCAGCAGCCCAAGGTTTGCACCCAGCAACGCTTTTCGGAAGCTTCGTGCACTGCCAACCCAACCTTCCTTTCCAGCAATTTCGGCTCCCAGACTGCTCCAGGAAATTGTTCCCTCAGCAGCTTTCTTTGGATCCCGTCCAACTGTCAGCTGATTCATCTTCTCCCTCAACTTCAGTTGTTCCTCACTTGGGAACCCCTCATAGAGACCTTGGTCTGTCCGCCAGACCAGCTTCAACTGATCAAAGTTGTCCACATAGAACGAAAAGAAACTCCTGGGGGTTTCCAATGGCACCAATGGACTTGGCTCTCCCATCCTGATGATCTGGTTTGGAGGCAGCCCTGCTTCCCTTGCCATGTTTTCAAACCCATCTTGGATGAAGTCAACCACATTGTTCCAACCCATTGGTGCGCTCTTCACCCGTGGATAGCTCATCTGATCATTTCCATCTTTGAAGCACTCACCAGCCGCCTTCTTGTTCAACGTGAACAAGCCTCTCCATGAATACCCTGGTCGGTAGATGTGAAAACAATGCTTCTGGTCTTCAGCTGAGCAGATGATTACTTCATCATCATGCAAGTACAAATTGCCCCATAGAGGCGCATAGCCCATTTTCTCAGAGGCACGTACCGGCATCCTCCTTTGAAAGCTGTTGGCCGGGATCATGTTGATGATGAGCCGCAGGGTCCGCAGCCAGCTTCCATCTTCCTTCAGAACCCAGGCCTTATGCACTCCAAAGGCTCCATTTCTCACAGGCTGATCCTTGTATCTCAATGTCTCCTCTTTTACTTCTCTTTCCAGCATTCCTGCATCCACAAGGTGGCTCACAACCTTGTTCCACTCCTGCTGAGAAGTCACCTGCACGGCCGCTGAGATGCGGGGAGCCACCAACTCCTCCTCAGGGATCAGGAGACTTTCCGGAGATTCCACATAGGGCTTCACGCTGTCACTGACCACATCAACCATAGGGATGCGAGCAGCCTCTCCTGAGCCCGGGGTTGTAGGCAGAATCGCCTCCAGCGTGAGGGGGTACGATTTGCCAATGTTCGGCCCTGTGTACATGTCTCCCAGGCCTTCTGAACAATTTTCCCATGTATCTGCCTTCACACTGTCACCGGTATCCTCCTCCAGCCACTTCCGGCTCATCTCAGAAAATCGTCCCAAGGCTTCCTGCTGAGCTTTTGTTGGTGTTCTGCTGTGAAGCATCCCTTCCGTCAACATGCGGTGACCACTCCCTTGGGAGTAAAGAAAGTTGACCACCAAGCATTGCAAACATGTCCATACTTTTCTTCCAATTTTCTCCGTCTCTTTTCTCAATTCAATCCATCTTGCACCACCAACATCGTCATCTCCTTTCATGCATCTATGGACAGCTTCCTCAATTGAACGCTCCTCATCGTTCATCTCGGGCAGAGGTAGAGGGAGGAGCTCTGCAGGCTGTCGCTGAAAAGTCTCCAGAGCACAGCAAGAAAGAGCTCGAGCAAAGTTCCCAAGCTCACCGGGGCGATCCATGATTCCAAGCTTCAACACCACCCCAGTCAGACTCAACGACATCTCACGAGAGCAGCCTCGTTCCATTCTCTGCCTCCAACCCTCAACGCTCAGGTGCTGTCCTTTACCAAGTTTGAACTCACGGATCAACCACAAGGCCCCATCCACATCATTGGGCGCAACATAGAGCTTCTGGCCGGACAATGATTGCCTGACTGCCTCGTGCCCAAGCTGGCTCACAAAGTCCTTGTGATAGATGGTGCAACCATGCTCTCTGTGGGGCGCCCCCACAAACACACCATCCTCCTTTTTCCATTCAACCTCTGCCGCTCTCACTTCGACCCCCTGTTCAACCCTCAGGAGCCGGCCTTCTCCCACCCGAGGATCAACCCCAAGTGGAAGGCTGCCAACTCCCAGAAGGGTAGATAGGGCTGGCGAGGCGGATGGATTCCTTTCCGCTTCAATAAAGCTGCAATGCTCCTGCAACCGCTTCTTGACAACACTGGGCGGGTCACCAGCGACATCTGCAAGGATCTCAAAGAATCTGAACTCAATTTTCACCCAGTTGGGACTGGCCTTCACTGACTTCTGTAGGAGCTGATGGAGTCCGATGACCTCTTCATCAAGTAGGAGCTCCCTCACCTTGACTGCTGTCTCCTCGGAAATCTCATTCTCTCGCATCGCTCTTTCCAAAGCAGGGTAGCTGAGGCCAATTGGGTTCCTCTCCTCAATCACCATCTCTTGCCTCCTTTCTTTCCTTTTCCTCGGCCCTTCCGGCCCTTCCCGGTTCCGCCTCCGTTTCCGGGAGGTGTTTCGTCTTTTTCGTCTCCTTCCTTCTTTTCGACCACTGGAGCTGCTGCACGCACTGGGGCCCAAGGCCCCCGGCGTGCTGGCCATTGATCCCTCTGCAGCCTCATTTCGCTCTTGTGCTCCTGCTGGGCTGCTTTTAATTCCTGACGGAACCAAGCTCTCTGCTCGTCCTCCGGAAGAATCAGCTCGAGCAGGTTGGCCTGGGACCATTGCCCCTGACTGATGAACAACTCGATTGCCTTCATCCGCTGGAGGGCCATGTCCAATGCTCTGAGAGCATCGTTGCTGGCGATCATGTCCGCAAGGGTCGCCAGAGTTCGTAACTCTCGCAAGTTCCGCAGGCCGA